TGTCCTTTTCCATTCATAATGTTATTCATTAAAAATCATTTTAAGCCAAACCAAAAGGAGACTAATCAAACCACGCATCCCAACAAATTTCAAACCACGCATCCCAACAAATTTGCTGATAAATTAAGATGTAACCACACCAGAAATGGAACAAAAAATGCTGAAAATCCTAAGTAAATGTAAATGGTAAAGTTAACAACTTCCTCCATTTTTAGTACTTCGTATATGAATCATTTTGACTTGCACGGTTGACAACACACATTTGAACATTAATATTTATAACTATATACTGTACAAGAAAATTTTATTATAAAATGATTCTTTTATGATATACATTGAAAATAACCCAATAACAACTAAGCAATGACGATTGTTAAACGAAGTATATTAGTAATTATACGCAGTCAAAGTTAATATATAAAGTATAAAAAGTCAAAACAAAATTGTATGTATTGAGAACCGAAGTGAGTAAGGCTTTGCTTGGTTGGATGTAAGATGTCAGGAAAATAGTTTTCTCAATTTCACAGAATATCAGAATGGAAAGCTTATTTTTTAGCCCAATTTATTACCCTGTTTTAAAAGGGATACATATTCTCTGCGTGGAAAATGCACTCACCCTCTATCTCTTAACCGGGCTTGAACTAATAGCGGCAGAAATGATCATTTACGGGAAGCCACAGTGCTCTGGCAGTCCGTAGGGAGGTGTGGTCAGGGTCAGCATCTGAAACAACCTCGATGAAGATTGCAGTAGTGTTGTTCTCAAGGTTCAAGACGGCAAGAAATGCGTCCTCTAAGAAAGTGTAAGCAATGCACCAAAACAACAGAGAATAACCAGGCTTGAAAGTGGATCGAAATGATGGAATCGGTTTTTAAAAGAGGAGATGAAAGGGTAGTCAGTGTAGAGGTGGTAATTTTTGTTTAATAGGATAGGATTTGGGGTAAATGTTGTTGTGAGTTTGATGGTTGTAAGGATAAAAATGTTTTTAATCTAAAATTGAGAGTGGATTGCCTTTTAATCTAAAATTGAGTTTTTCATGGAAAAAGGCAGTATACTGAGTCGAAAAGCAAGTAATTAAAACAACAATGGAGTAGTAAAAAATAAGTTGGCAGTGTCGAGAAGCAAGTAATTAAAACAACAAAAACAACAATGGAGTAGTAAACATAAGTTGGCAGAAAGAAGCAAGATGAGAAGAGAGAAATAAAAAGGTAAAATACCTTCAAAAAGCGGCCCCTTCGGTTTTCGCCAACATCGAAGTAAAAGACCTGCAGGAAAATAGAAAAAGAATTAAAATGATTGAGAGGTAGGGGTAAAGGGTGTCGAGTTTGGAGAATAATAAGAAATTACCTTGGCATCAAGTTGCAATTCCTTGCTAAAAATATCCTGGTCCTCAGAATTAACATAGTAATTAAAGAGATCCAAAAACCAGGAAATTCCATTAGAAGGGACGATGATGGTAGACCTAGTAGCGGAGGTTTTCTCAGAAATCTTAAGGTATCGACCTCTTGGATTCTCCTTTAGATCGAAGTAGAATAGCTTGTGCTCCACCTGCAGCGTCTTGCACATGAGCTCTACGTCATTCCCGCCTCCGCTTCCGCCTCCGCCTCCGCCTCCGCCTCCGCCTCCTGAGTTATTCTCCATCCCTCAATCAAATCAAATCTAATCAAATCAATCACTCACACGCCCTCCGTCGTCAAGATCGAGGCCCCGTGCGCCTTATCGTCTTCGTTTCACTCCTGCACTTACTCTTCTATCTCTTCAAAATATATATTTATTTTTTATATATTTATATACAATTATTGTATCTTAAACCCAAATATCAAAGATCCGAAAAAGGCAATGACATTCTAAGAAACTGGGTATTGTATTGTATCGTTGGTTGTAACTTGTAAGAGGAAGGAGAAGACGAATTAGGGTTTTGGGCCACTCTTATCAGTTCTCACCCTTCTTACTGTATTTTAACTCCCCTCCCACTCGCGGATTCACAACCTAACTACATTGCGTTTTTTACGCCTCCCAAGCCCTTATTCACTCTATTCTCCCTTTCCTCTTTATTGCTTGGAGTTCACATGAGTTATTTCCTGCCCGGACCCTCAACTATCCAACTTGTATGCGGAAATCGGGTTGTTCTAAATTCGAGCTAGGTCCATTTTAAAACATGTTTTATTTACATACGGTCTAATAAATTTAGATAAAATCAAATAAGTTTATACTAATTCAAATAATATCAATTTAGATTTCGAGTAGAATTATATTCACCCCATGATTTAATAATTATATTTTGGCGTCATGATACTTATAATAATTCTATTATGGTTTTATTTGATTATGATTTGCATTTAAAATATTAATATATTTGTCTTTATTATAAATGTTGATAAGATAATTATAAGTCAAACGAGATAATGATCTGAAAATTTCATCATACACCTGGTCAAAATACTTGTAAAACAACAGAAATACCATTGTATACAATAAAGTACACAAGTAAAATAAGTTCAAAAATGATTTCTTCCTTTGTTTAAGATATAAGACTAGAATAGACCCGGTCTACAATAACTTATTCTAGACCCAACCTTCTAGTGTACCATACGAATTTGATTATATCATACGAAATGTGATTATATTATTACAAAAGTGATTATGTCATCTTGAAACTATTATGTAAATGTATCACTCAAAAAGTGAATTTATCATTATAAAAAGTATCAAATAGTAAGTTACATCATTCAAAAGATGATTTTTAAATTTTATCATCCTAAAGATAATTATATAATCTCATTAAATGGTTTAATATGAGATCAAAATATGACTCACAAAAAGATAATTATATCATCTAAAAAAATTATTATATCATCCAAAATGTAATTATATTATTTGAAAGTGTCAAATTTTGGGTCTACAATAAATTATTGTAGACCGGGTCCATACAAGACCAATTGTTTAAGATGTTATTTAGACTCCTTTATTTAAGAAATTGATTTATTATTTACATTCATATTAATAGAATATCGTTAGTTAATGAAAATCTATCTCTTTGTATAGAGAGAAATTGATTTTATGTAGACAAAGAAATAATAAATATTTTGAATTTTAAAGTGATATAATGTTATTACATAGTTGTTCAAATCAATCTTTTAATAGAAAGATGTAAAGGATGAATTTGTTGTTACGAGAAAAGGTATTTTATAATATATTTTTTTCGATTATTTCTGAGGTTGAAGAAGATTTTTTTTTTCTTTATGTTTTTTACATTACAAATTATATTCTTTAAAGTATGCAGTTAAAAATGTCTTTGGATTTAATATGTTTTTTACATTACACATTACGTTCTTTAAATTATGTAGATTAAAAATGTCTTTGGTTTTAATTATATGAAATATGTTATTTTAATTTGAATCATATGTTCATTTGAAAACTAAAATTTTAGGGTTTGTTTGACATTTTTTTTCTTTTTAGATTTTTATTTTTTAAAAACCAAAAAATGAAACAAGAAAAAGATATTTTCACTTTTATGTTGTCAATTTTCAAAATTATCATGATTTTAATAAGTTTGTCTAATTTTTGTTTCATTATATGACAAATATTATATGAGTTAGAAAAACAAAAAATCTATAAACTGAAAACCACGACGATGTCAAACGAACCCTTTAGGGGCTGTTTGGCACTGATTTGGTTTTCAGTTTTTCGTTTTATTTTTCCCAATAAAAAACAAAACTCGTTTGGTAAATTCGTTTTAAAAAAACAACTTTCCTCCAGCTTTAACAAAACCACAACAGAAAACAAGAAACTCCTTTTTATTGTTTTGTCGTTTTATAAAACAAAATTAAGCAAATCCTCCTCTTTTCCATCTATGCTCTCCATTCATTAGCCATGCTAGACTAACCAGACCATTACTGTAAAATTTCTCACTTCAAAAGCAATTAAATGCAACCCCAATACGGGATTTGACGATCCTTCAATTTGGGGTTCTAGTTTTCAATCCTAAATCTGCTTCTTCCGATTTGTAAAATCAAATTACAAATAATGATATGAGATTGGTAGTATTTTCAGTGGGATTAAAGTTTCTAAAGCTATACATCACATGTTTCCATGGTGATTATTCCAATTTGTAAATGCTATTTGAAATTGTGAATAAATTTGATTATTCTTTATCTTTTCTAAATTTGATATAGGTTTTTTCAATTTTTAATTTGGTGTATGAAATCTACCATAAACACTCAAGCATATGGCAGCGATATGGATGAATGAATGGTCTGATTAGTCTCTCATTGGGTGGGTTGATAGAGATGATGATGGATGATATTGTCGTGAAAATGAATTAAAGTCGGCCTAAAACTGCTTTGAACTATAGAATTACAAATAGTATTTATTTTGTTTTGAAAAAAAATAAAAAATAAAACCAAATAAGTTTTGTGTTTTATGAAAACTAAAAAATTGAAAATATCAACTGATACCAAACAAACCCTTAAGTTTTAAATTTTGAATTTATGGAATTTGAAAATGATTTTTGGTAAAGAAATTCTACAAAACTGAATATTTTGATATGAATTGACATTAAAAAGGGGATAAAAATCAATTATTAATTATCTTTTATCTTTTCTGAAAGCTGTTTCTCACAAATTACTGTGTTCATGATGTTCTTTACAATATCTTTGATACCCAACACCACGTTCAATGCATCACTTTCAACCTTAACCTTCATGATAAGCCATGTTTATGATGTACTCCGTATTTAAGATATTAAAAATTTCTTTACATAATAAATTTTTTTTTAAAAAAAGGATAAACTAGCTCTTTTTTTTTTTTTTTTTTTTTACGGGAATTAGCAATTTATCCTATATACAGAGTATTTAGTTTTAAAAAAAATTACATGACTCCAAAATCAGTAACCAAAACATATGGGCACCGTCCCAAAATGAAAATTAAGAAATAAATAAAAGTAAAAACTTTTAAATCTCAAGATACCAAGGTTTAATACTTATAGAAAATAGTTGTATAGTTGTATAGGAAAAATAATGATAATAATATTTTTATTACCATTTTTCAATTCGGCAATTTTCCTTTCTAAATCCCTCCTAGGCTCTTAGTGATGAAGTTTGATGCACGGACCAAACAAATACCAAATATTTCATATTGTAAATCAATGCTAAGTCTTGCTATGTAGTAAATGAGTAGTACACATCAGTTCAATGGCAAAAAAGTCAACTTTCAATCCTTTCTTGACATTTATGGTCTAAATGGTAGACGTGCACAAGTTAATAACAACCTGAAACATCTTCCCCCAATTTGCGTAGTGCCACTATCACAACTCATTAGTGATCAGCTCACAGCTTGTCAGACTGCAACTCCCATTTCAGTTATTTTGATCATCCTCTTTTCCATACCAGCTCTTTGCTGCTTAAGAAGTGAAGCCACTGAAGCAACCTGTTTAGCAGAAAGAAATGTAAATAATACGAAAAGTAGTAAAGTTTCTAAACGAAGGAGCTGCAAAACATATCATATTACATCTCAAATTCGTAGCAATAATCTCATGTACAAATGTACAATGTAGAAGAAAAGGAGCTGTATTACAGCTACATTAAATAACAATAACATCAAAGCCTGATTTCAATAGATGTGGTTGGCTACATGAACCACACAATTTTATCTTCGGTCGTCATTGTGCAACGATCACAAGTGCACCAGCCAATGATCAGCCACCACGTGGGCTAATCACATATACCAGACGAGCAAAGGGAGCCTTGAAGGACAAGGGTAGTGGAGCAGCACAAGGAACAGGGCAGCTGTCCTATGCAGCCATACAGCAGCCAAATGGTGCATATCAGACAAATGGTTAGGTGGGATCCTTTTTTGACAGCCATTGGCTAAGTGTACACATAAAAAGGGGAAGAGAGGGGTAGGGCTAGGTAGCTGATTATTGTGTAAGGAAATCCCAGAGATTCGTGGCCTCAAGTCACCCTTAGGAGAGAAGCAGCCTCAAGCTGCCCCTGTAAGAAACTTGCTTGAATGAATGATAACTCCCACCTTTCTTCCCTAAAATTTATTTCTTTCTTTCCTAGCTGATTAATAGTAGCTGTTATTGCTAGTGGTTTGTTACACATTGACATAAATCCTCCTCCATTCCATCCTTGTGTCCCTTGGATTCTTTAAAAATCCCCACTATTACAACTCTGCTTTCCTAAATGGTGCATCTTCAGACCACCTCACATGTCCTAATCAACATAACCCCCTTACCCTAATCGCAATCCTACGTTCTTCCAAATAAGTTATATTTTACATTCAACAACCTCATACAAGTAAAGTATATTTTTACTTCATATGAGTATAAAGTATTTTATTAGTGGCAATACCAATTGACATTTTGAAGTTTCAATCCATAGAACCCACACCCAACACTTTTTATCAAAGTTTCCATCTCCCTAACAATCCATAGAACCAGGACTTAACAATTCTATCCTTTTTATTTAATCTCTCATCTATAGGATTGCCAATAACATCAGTGTTGCTCTATGGTAAAAAATGTAGGGCTTCTAAGAGAAACTATAATGGTTGGCTAATTCTTTTAATAGCTTGGCATGCCACATCATCTTCTTAAGCTACATTAATTCTAGCTATTTGTTCCTCCAATGGTTAAGCTAGTTGTAAATTAATTTATTTTTAAATTAATAATAATTTTTATCTAATAAATATTTACCAAGCTTATTAGCTCCACAAAGCTGATCAACAAGATGTGCAACAATGGTAAAGCTACTAGCTTAAGATTTTTAAATATTTGCAAGCTAGTCCCTTTACTCTAAGAAGAAGCACATTAGAAAAAATAGAGGTTACAGAAATACGCATGTGAAAACGGATCCTTTAATGACTACAAAAAACAAATCGAACAAAACATATTAAAAGAAACTAAGAGCAAGAGAAAGAAGTAGATAACTTCACGGCGGCTGGAATGGTGGTTGGGCTACAACAGTAGATTGCCGCTCACTCTGTCGTCTTTATAATTTAGGATTTAGGGGTTTCCAAATTGCAAAGGCAAGTAAAGAAGGGTTTTTGTTTAGGGTTAAGCTTCAGTTTAAATTAGGGATGTCCAAAAAGTACCTAAGTCGTCCTCAAAATGTCCCCAAGTCTCCTGAAAGTCGTACCAAAAAAGACTCCCGTGCCATTTTTCAAGGGTGCACCATGGGGACGTATCCTAAGCGTACCCGTAACCATTTCCATGCTTCATAATTAATAATTTGAATCAGATTTGCGACTCTACAGCGGAATCAATCAATCAATTGAATAACATTTAACAAAAATAACCAATGGAGATGCAATGCGCTTGATACATTCAAACAATCACAATTATTTTATAAAGATCAATTTAAGAATCGCAATGCTGGATGTAACAAATCATCTCCCACACCAAAGATGGGCGTCATTTAGGTCACATGGTGTCTAGCACCACACCTATAGAACTTTATTTAGTTCATGTCTTGAAATACTAATGAACACAAAATTAAGTAACACAATAATGGGCCATTTAGGGCCCAAACGAAGTCCAGATGGGCCCAAATTTAGGGGTCTACTGTATTTTGGGCCAAGGAAATCGGTTTTCCATGATGAGATCCCGGAGTACAGGTTTTGGCAGGCACTCCGAAAAATGCGAGGATTTTCGGCAATGCTAAAAGGTTCTTTTGAAGGAGTATTCTAGAGAGGGTGTCTCTAGACTATTCAAAGAGTATCTTGTACATGTTGGAAGTCTTCTACGTTCTTATATGTATGTACAGAAGTGTGTAAAGTTCTAGGGTTCTCTTTAAGGCTTAGTTGTATGTGGAAACCTCCATGTATGTAGTTCCTAAGGAGGTTGAAACATTCTAAGTCCTTGTAGTCAAGAAACACCCCCCCCCCCCAACCCCCAATTGAGGAGGTTAGGAATTTTTTCGACAGGCCTTGTAAGTAAGACGGAGCACTATAAATAGACTATGAGACTCATTTGTACAAACCAAGTTGAGAATTCAATACAAAAGCATTCTTAAGCACTTCAGTTCTCTTGCAACTCAATCTCTTCCTTTCAACACTTAGAGAGTGTGAGGAAAACTAAGACACAATGATGCTAAGAAAGTGTTTGGGCATACTAAAAAGAGTGTTAGTTCGTGTACTCAATACTCTACAACACTTAGTCGTAAATCCAAACTAAGGCACTAAAAGTGAGTGCTTAGTTCAACCAAGAGGCTTTGCTTAGCACTAAGGGGACATGCTAGCAAGTACATTTGTGCAACACACAAAGGAGTAGAGCCAAATGAGAAAGCTTGACTCCTCTTACGAAGAAAGTAGGTGGAGCAGAGAGGGTGACTAAAACAAAGTAGTCAGCACGTGACATGGAGCTCACTTGGAACGCAAATGACAAGCTTAAACATGAAATTTAAACGTCGCTCAAACACAAGGTATCTCAAACACTAATAATATATAGGAAAAATTGTTACCCGCTTAATAGGCCATTTTCTCAACAACTACGTGCTTAAAAGTTTTATTAAAAAAAATACTCCTTATTTGTTTTAGTTGCACTATTCATTTTAGTTTTTCGGTAACTAAATCAGGCAAGTGGAGCCCAATTTTATTTTTCCTTTCTAAACTTTTGAAATAAAAGTTTAATAAAACCAAATGGACCCTACTCGTTGGATTTTGTTGCAGGAAAACCAAAATGGGTAATGTCACTCTAACTTTTGAAATTTAGGGGTAGTTTTTTTTATAAAATTTCTAAGCAAGTATTTGCTAACAAAATGACTTATAAAGGGGATAGTTTCTGAAAATTTTTCATAATACTTATCAAGTTTAAAACTGCTTGATTCGACTCATTTGCAGCCTAAATGTCATTTTTGAATAAAATACATCATCAATTAAAAATGAATCAAATACTACCTCCATTCAAGAATAATTGACACATTTTGATTTTGCACTATTCACACGCTAGCTTTAACTATTCTTTCGCACAATTCCATCAAAAACAAATGTTAAATTAAATGTACTAGCCTATTCCTAATGGTTTGACTCACTTTCCTTTATGGATATTTACAAATTGACCTACTTTTACTTCATTAATAGTAAATCTATTTTACTCCCTTACCTATCTTTACCCCAAACAATCTACACACTAATTTCGTAAAAAAAATAAAAAATTAAAAAAAATAATAAAAAATCTACACATTTCAACTTTCTTTTATTCTATCCACCTATTTTGTTACATTTACCTATCGTTGACTTCATTTGTTTTACTCTATCCATTTCAAAGTTTTCTAAAACAAGAGTCTAATGAAAGTGAATCGAATTTTTGGAAGTGGGAGGATTATTAGAAGTTTCTCATGCACAAACGTAATGAAAGAAACATGTCAACAAAAAAACCAAAATAATATAAAGAAAGTAGCTGATTATTCTAATATATTAATCTCGGAAATTTACAGCAAACAAAAGAAAATCAAGTAATATAAAGAATTTTTAACAAAAACAAAATCAAATTACATGAGGAACGAATTTGATATGAGAGAAGAAGAGCAAAAAAGAAAGAAATTTTAGTGTAATAAGTATTGAATATAAACGTTAAAAAAAAGGGGGGAAAAAAAATCACAATTAAGCATTTTTAAATTTAAATGCAACATTCTAAGTAGTAATATTTTGAACAAAAATGTATGACATTCTATATTTTATCTTGCAAAACATTTGACACATTCATCTCAACAAACAAATCTTTGTTACACTCATCTTTTAACATAATCCTTGCTAAATGCCCTCCTACATGACCCATATAAGTGTTAGAAGTGGTAATGCAATCAGATGATAGATTGGTTACCACTACAATCCTCACTTGTGCTTTACGCGCGCTTTACCGCAGATTAATACTTGATTGTTGGGTGTAATGCAATGGTTACCACTACAATCCTCACTTGTGCTTTACCGCGCGCTTTACCGCGCAGATTAATACTTGATTGTTGGATGTAATGCAATTCGATCCAAAAAAAACGAGTGCGCCCGCACTGCGTACTTAAGTGATGAATCTGCTTTGCACGCAGCTTTTGGTCCACACGCAGCCTGATAGATGCACGTATATTGCGTGTAGGCCCAATAGGGTTACGGGTAGTTGTTTATGAGTTTTGAGCTTTGGTTTTCGGTCCATATAAAAACTAATCTTCTCATTATAATTGGGGAGACACTTGGTATGAAACCTAAACACATAAACACAAACCTACCTTTTTTGAGATCTTAAAAGTTCTCGAGCAATTATAACCTTTGAGTTCGGGTACACGAGTTACGAAGGTCGTGTAAAACTTGGGGGTCGTGCGTCACTAGAATATTTGTACCGGTGATGGCGTATTTTGCTTCTAAGTCAATGCGTACCAAACCACGGCACATCCAGCTTCTAAGTCATTGCGTACCACCACGACACAACCGAAGGAGGATAGGTCTTTGATTTCGAATATGGTGAGTTTGTTCCAAAAGTTCTTGATTTGTCTATTATTATTCTGAGAATCACGTATTTTTCCAACAATAACGTCACCTATAACATTTTCTCTACAACTAATCCATATAACAATCTATATCTCCATTTCTTTTGAAATATTCACCCAATGTATTTACAATCTACTTACAATACTTAGTAAATCCTTACCACCCATACATCCAATGCAATGTTACATGGAACGCGGGACGTTCCAGAACTTGGTACGGGTGCGGGAACGTGGAATGTAGCCATAAGAGTTCTCGGAACGTATGGTCATTTGTTTTATCAGTGCTTTGTAATTTAATTTATAATTGATACTCCACTATTTACCATAAATTAATTACATATACATTTAAAATTTAAAAATTTTCATAAAAAAATAAATAAATAAATAAATAAAAAGATAAAGCTGGAAATTGCATTTAATGTATTGCACAAGTCCCATGGCTATACGGCTGTAGGCCCTGTAGCACTTGCTGTGTACTTGTGTAGACAATTAAAAAAGAAAAAAAAAATAGGAAGAGAAGGGGACATTAGGACATAGGGGTCCACAATCTTTATTAGACTTGTTTTCTTATCAGTTATTAGTCTTATCACTCTTCCATTCCACGATTCTTCATCTCCTTCCCCATTGATGAAACCTTGAAAGTCTTTTAAACTTTCAATTATACCCGAAATTATAAACAAATGACAACCCAATTGTCACTCTTAGACTACAACTTAGATCGTACTACAATTGGGTTCTTCGTCGTCAACGAACTAGATCACGAACCACCGCAAACTGGAACGCGTTAGTACCGCGTTTGGGTACGGACATTCCGGTACGGGGAACGCGCTATCGTCCCGCGTTTCGGGTAACACTATTCCAATGTTACTACATTCAATGTTCCTACATCCTCATTTGACTCCTTCCCTGTACTAAAATTGGCACTCCACGTACTCCTTTTTGGTCCAAATCATCCAACTTAGGCTAAACCTTAATATTCTAACTTTTGCCTTCCGCGCTCTAGCTTAGAATTATCCACTACTCTAATAAAAAAAAAAATACCGTCCGCAAACAACATATACCATGGTATCTAATCTTGGATAGACCATGTTGATTCACTTCATCTAATACTGTTAAAGAACGTGTATAAGATATCCAAATAGTGATAGGATGCAGTATTTCTAAAATTTAGATTACACAGAATGAGGTTTATTCCAAGAAAATGAAGTACAGTAACAAAACACCAAACTTTAAAAGTGGCATTTATGTTCAACATCAAATATATTTAGGGACTTGCCTCTGCTCGAAGTTGCAATGCCTCCCTGCCTGGAATCTCTCGTAGTAGATTCACTACATCTGAAAAAGTAGTAATTAAAATATTAATTCAACAAACCATTACACTAAACAAAATACATTAATATTTTATGCAAACACAGATTTTGTTAAAATAAAAGGGAGAGGAGTGGCCGAGTGGGTGGTTCAAGGCTCAACAAGCTTAGCACACCTTAGGGGGGGAGGGGGGAATATTAAGGTCATCCCACCTCCAAGCATGACCTCAATTACAAGTTCAACTGCTTACCACACACCAAGAGGCCGAAGCCAAGGCTATATGTATATATATACCAACATGAAAAGTAGTCAAGATACTATCACACTAATACGTCTAAATCAAATAGCGACTGGAAGGAAGTTCCAGATAATGTAAAATTTAAGCACAACTAAATATAATTTTAAAGATACTAGCCAAAACTTATACAGCCAAATTTGAGTTAACATAGTTTGCATAAACAGCCCACTCATAAACTCGCACCACAAAATACATAAAATATGCACCTGCTGCTTGAGTCTCAACATGATCCACAGATTTGGCTAGGTATCGAAGTTGTTTTCCAGCATTCCTACAAGGACATTCTATATGAGAAATTGATATATAAGGGCTGCATACGGGATACAAAACTAATACTCTGTATATTTAACAGTTACATTAGATCAGTCTGTCCGGTTGTCATCTCCTTTTCAGCAAGTGTTGCCCTTTCAAGCAATTTCCTGCTCTCCTTCTTCATTAAATCAACTGACAAATTCAGCATCTTTACATTTTTCTCAGCTTTAACAAACCGTGCCTGCATGTTTATACAAACAAATCAGTACTCCACTACAAAACTAAAACCCTGGCACATTATCAGTTTTCTAATTATAAGATCTTAATAAATAGGCCAAGAATTAACATGACCTTAATCAAGTCTCAAACCACGCATTTATGGCTTCTGAGAAAACTATCATGTACTATGGACCCATTTTGGATAACAATATATAAGATTTAGGGCCTGTTCCGATTTCTGAAAACAACTGAAGTGAACTAAATAGAGCTGAAATGAATTGTTTATCACATAAGGAAATTAGGAACTGAATTGATTGGAGTTGAGCTAAGCTTCTCAACACAACAGGCCCTAAGAATTGGAAAAATTAACAAGAAAGGTCCGAACTATTACTAGTTTTCTTTAAAAGGGGTCAACCAACCAACTATTTTGGGTAGTTCACACGCGTGTACCCACCTGCAATTGTAGGCAAAGTATGTGACGTGTATATCATGTGACCTTGAATTTACAACAATCAAAATTTTCCCCTTTCTTTCGGATTTCAATAAAACCTCCCTCCAACATTGCAATTTCTTCTTCTTCTCTTGAAATTGTTGTAACTTTTTTAAACCTCAAATTTGTTGCATAAATCAATCCAATATGCGTAGTGGCAAGCAACAATCGTCTTGATCATCTTCAAGATTATTAAGGATTAGACTACGAGTTAAATTATGTAATACGAATTTATGTAGTTATTAATTATCCACCAATTTATACGGTACATGAGCAAAATCTGCATTATGATGGATTAAATATTGCCACAACCACCCCACGTCCCCCACCAATTAATAAACCACAGCCATCGATCGAACAAGCCCCAACTACAAAGCACCAACCCAGACCACCCCCACATAACTACCAACCACCCAAATAAGAAAAATACCTACATCTTCCCGCCAAAAAAAAAAAAAAAAAAAAAATCACCATTGCCAATGACACCACCACCGACCTGCTAGCCTAGATCTCTCCATAGCAAGTTTAAACCCACCCACTCAACCACCACAAAATCGTCACCAAGAAACTATCCACCAGCAACATTGCAATAATACACCACCATCATCGAAGCAACCAAGGCACCAACTTACCCCTACAACAACCCACCTGCACATGCTAATGAGGCCACCATAAAGCTGCCAACACAATAACCTTATCAACCTTTGCCAAGAGAATGAAATTTATGGCCATATATAATATATAGAAGAGGAGGTTAAGCTTGATACAGAAGATGAGTAGCCATCAATTGGCCGGGGTTGCTCGACAGAAGATAAGTTAGTTGCCAGGTGGCTTGAGTGTTGTGGATGGGAAGTAGTGGAGACAGAGAAAGAACGGGAATTAGAAGAAAATGGTGGTGGTGGTGGTGGAAATTCAAGAGGTAGACCGGTGGTTATGCTGTGGAGACTAGAAGGACAGAGTTGTGGTGGTTATGGCATAATAGGGCAAAAATTGAGAATATTTTTTAAATTAAAAATTTTACCGGTTGATCAGGTAACAAGTCACACTGTTTTGAGAAAACATAGGTATAGTTGGTCTGTCCAAAGTTAATTAATAGGTTGGCCCTTTTAAAGAAGACCGGTGATAGTTGGGACCATTCTTGTTAATTTTTCCTTAAAAATTTAGATCATAAAATTATGGATTTAAAATACTGACGTCGCAGAGGAGGTCCACACATACACTTCCCAACCCAAATACTTCCTCCAATATATATATTTAAACTTTTACACTACTCAAAATTTATCTTTTTTTTACCATCAATTATGCTTTATTTGCAAAGAAAATCATAATCACGTGGGTCATGGATCTTGTAAGATTCATTTTGCTATATACTTTCAAAATATCAATTATAGATTATTAAAGACATTAATGGTTAAAGTTGGGTATTATAAAGAAGGAAACTCTACATGTCGCAATAATTGAGAAAAGGAGAGTATATCAAAGGCCAATTCTGAAAGACACCTAACCTTTCACCATGTTGGTGGGACCCCCCTAGCTCATTTGAACAAAAGAAAATCAAGGCAGATTCTACATGTATGCTTTTCACAAAAGAGTGTCTAAACAAGTTATCTAGATAAGGCTATGATATAAAGTGCCTGAAAATTTTGAGTTTTAATAATCAATACTAATATTTCATAACAGGAACACTAATATGCCACGTGTCCAAAAAGAAAAGCAAATTTAATGCTTCATGTTACTCTCTATCATTTTGCCTCTCATGAAGCATCACCAAGACTAAATCCACTTTAACGGTGTCCTAACTCCTAAGATATTGAGGTGGATTGTGAGATATTAGGCACATAGGATCATAGCAAGGTATTAAAAAAGTTACCTTTCTAAAAAATCAAGACACAAAGGCCCCATGGACATTGTTGTCACTTCTACTAATCAAGATGTATTGCAAGTTAAAAAGGAAAGGAAAGGCATCTTTGGAGTTTGTGACAAATAATTAAGGAAAAAACTTGGAGAAATTTGCTAGGAGATTTTATATGGCTACTTCTAAAAGTTTAGGATCAATCATTAAATCAATTGGACAATATGGTCATGAATTAGAACTGCCAAGTATGCATGAGATTAGAGTTCCACTCTTTAAGAAAGAAGTAGATGGCACTAACTAGCAAATGGAGAAGCAATAAAATAAATAAATAAATAAATAAAAAAGTTTCATCTTATTTTATCCGATGGGAAGCATAATGCGATTTCCTAAAAGGATATTGTAATCTTTCTTGTACTCTCCAAGGGGTCTATGGTTGAGAAATCCACAAATGTTTCAATAATTGTGAAAAATGCAACATTATTGCTTCATATGCATGGGCGGATTCAGGGGGGGTTCATTGAACACCCAGATTTTTTGAAAAAAAATTATAAGTTTTGGTTTTTTTTTTAAAAAAAAAAAAAAGAAAAAAAAAAAAGGTTAAAAGGAATTTTTGTGAAGTAAATAAACAAATATGTAACTCTGGCACATTGGTAAGGGAGTGACTAATAGAGTAGTGAGGCTCCTCTTGATCATGGGTTCGAGACTAGCCACCCTCATTTTTATTTTTATTTTTTATTTTTTTTTCCCTTTCGATTTCTTCCGTTGTTCTTCATGAGTTAGTCCATAGTTGGGTCAATAATTTTAGGAGTAGTATGTTGGTCATTTTGGTAAGTTAGAGAGTCAAATGAATTTAGAAGTTAATGAGTTTATTTAGTGGGTTTAATCATGGCATTATACTTTCAGTTTTTTAGCTTATTATTTGTTGTTTGTTAGCATACCTATATGGCTATTGTATTTGGTGAATTAAGCATGAAGAAATATTATTGAGTTCTTTATTTTACTTGCTTCATACTTATCTAATATTATTATTGTTTTTATCCTTTAGTACGTATTAGTTTCAACAGTCCTCTTATTCCTCTACTCCTCTTAATTCTTAAATCTTTATTTGTTTGTAAATTAGTGATAATTAGATTAATTATTTATTTGTTTAATTAGTTTTGATAGATTGTTGACGTACAAATTGAATTTAGAAACTTAGAATTTAAAATTTTTACTTGGTCTTTTAATTGATAATTAGAAAAAATTTTACATTGTCAAATTTGTGTTTATTGGGGACTTGGGATTTTTGTTTTTCCGTGTAATATTGATTTTTTGCAATATAATTATAGATTTATCATTTATATAAGTAGTAATGTTTTAGCACGCTTTCAAAGTATAAAACTCGAATAATGCTTTTGTAGGGTTTTTTTTTTATTTATTATTTTGTAACTGTTTAATCCATCCATTTGTAATAAAAAATTTGAACATATATAAAATATTTAATTAATATATTAGCATCTTTTGTTTTTTAAAATTCCGAACCCACAGTTCGAATTCCTGGATACGCCACTGTTCATATGGAATAGAAGATGTGGTTGAGGAAGTAGGAGAGGCAAATGTTGTTCAAGTGGTCACGTTACGGATATCAAACTATGTTAAAACCAGTATGAAATAGAAATCTTTTAATTTTTTATTCCTGGATAAACCTTTTATGTATGTATCATTCTTTGATTTCATAAATTGTAAGAAAGTTATTAAAAGTTCAAAATAACTCATCTTTATTAGATTCCATGTGTTGCTCATCAAATTGATTTAAATCAAATCCTTCTTGTGAGCATGATGAGAAATTTTCTCACGACAAAGAAAAAAGATAATATCTATTACTAAAGCAACAGGACAACATGAGGAAGATGGTTACGGTTCATGATGGAGAGACAAAAAGCCTCCAATGGGCTACATTTATCAAGTCATATACGAAGTATACGGCAAGGAAGCTATTTACAACACCTTTTCAATTAAGGCCAAGAACTATTAAAAGTCTTTGTGAATTCACTAATAAATGGTGGGATTGACATCTAAATTTGGAAATCCATTAAGTTAACTAAAATGATTACCTCTTCACTTTGAAATCGACCCACAGTATGGCGAAGCAAGAACCTTCTGGGACCTAAAAACACCAAAGAATCATGAAAAACAAAAGGTCAGGAATAGCAAAAGTTAATTCATCTTACAACCAAATTGACAAAATTTAAAAAAAAAATTAAAAAAAAAAAAAAAAAAAAATTTCAGAATACATATAAAAAAAATGAAGACCCAGAAAAAGGATAACAAGTTACATATTCATGATTCACAGTGTGCCTTTTTAAGCTTAGAACTAACAACTAGATGCAACACCAAACTAGTTGTACACAACATATTTGTAAGTAAATAAATCCTCCCATTCAAAATCCAGGATAAAATTACAAATGATAATAACAAATGACTAATAAGAACTCAATTTAAACTATAAATGACCTTAAAGTGCCCAAAAAGTTTACAAAATTTTATTAAAGTTACAATTAAAAGATACTAAACCAGCTTCTTGTATCCCTAATGTATCCCTAAGAAGCCAGCAAATATCCTGTGAATTTCTACTCACAAAGTCACAATCAAAGCAAAAACATAACTTATGGAAAATATAGAATTGTCAGCCTATTCTTCAAAGTTTATGATCCCGCCCAATTACGAATAAAAGAAAAAACGCCAATATTATCTTTTCTTTAACACCACCTCATCCTTTTAGCATTATCTTCATTCAAATTCATTTTCTTGATTTGACTTTTTTACCCCCTAAACATATTATCAGTAATCCACGCATTCCCTTACAACTTACAAGTACTCCAGTTAGTAGTCATTTGGCCTCTGCATTCTAGTGCACTGCCATGACATCCAAAGAGAACCTTAGATAAGAGTGGGATAATTGTATTTTTAAAAAGGAATACATACAGAAGTCTTGCAATTCATGCCCTTAACCCACTCAAAGTCAAGAAAATATAAAAATTGCTGACATGTGTTGGGATCAGCATTGACAAGCATACACATGCTACTAATAGGACATGTGTCATCATCATATGCTTGTTAGCTTCTTCTTATTTCTTCAGTCTCCTCACCATTTAATTCTTCCTCTCTTATTTCCTCTATCAATCACAATACTCAAACAAATGTTGACAAAGGCCTGTAAATTTAAATTATAGGTAAATTCAAAGAAAAGCAAGAGCTTAAATGACTTTCTCCCTCACACAAGTATCAAACATGATTATATAAGTTACTAAAGTATAGGCCATTGCAACCAATCAAAAATTATACCTAATATAAAATTAAGGAAATTTTGCATTTAACCACCTTTTTAGTCCTTTTTTTTTTTTTTGCAAATAACCACCTTATTATAAAAAATATTGTAAAAGACCACCATTTTAAAAATATGTTGCAACTACCACCTATTGCCAGAAAGTAGATATTTGACCAACTACTCCGGCGTTGACCAATCCACGTGACAGTAGCCTTAATACCCCCCTCCTTTTTTCTTTCCTTTTCCCTTTCAATTTCCCTCTTCTCCTCCCCTGGTTCCTCTTTCTTCCTCGCATTTAATCTTCTCGACAATGGCTGATCATGTTGCAGAGTAGACTTGACAGGCGATTTATGCTGGGTAATCCAAATAAGGTAAAAAAAAAAAATGTTTTTTCATCTTCCATTTTCACTGGGTCTCCAATTTTTGCCCAATGACATCATCTTCTCTGAATTTTTCTCTGAACAATTGTGTTGTCATCAATGGTTAAAGGTAAAAGAGGCAAGCGCAAGGCTCAATTTGAAAGGGAGGCCAAATAGGAGATTATTCACATTCCGAGGTCAGTCGTTTTTTTTTAAAAAAAAATTGTATATTGTTCTTTGAGTTTGGTGGGGGAATAAAGAATTGGAAATAGTTAATCCCTAATTAATTAAGTAATTAACCAAGGATTATTGTACATGACGGCGTTGACTCATCTTTGTCCACTCTCTCATGGAATACACATACACGTACCACCCATCACTGTGAGGAGATTCACTAACGTGCCACGTGACTGGTCAACGCTGCCGAAAAGAAGCTGGTCAAATATCCACTTTCCGACAGCAGGTGGTAAGTTGCAAAATATTTTTTTAAAAATGGTGGTCTTTTACAACATTGTTTTAATAAGGTGGTTATTTGCAAAAATCAGGATTAAAAAGGTGTTTATCACATGGCATTTTCGTAAATTAATTGATAACTTTTTCAACGAAAACGGGGCCTACAGTGATAATGACAAGATAAAGTTGCTGATTTATTTACCAAAATGTCATGTGATAAACACTTTTCATTTATCCCAAAGATAACTAGGGCTTCCTCTTAAATAATGATCAATAATAAAAATAATTCCACATGATTATATAATGGACAATTGTATACGTTGACACATTTCATTTATACATGTTTGCCAACTCATAATCAATATATATTATTAAAACCCATCGCAAAACATGCAATTCTGCCATGTGTCACTACATTTGCCATTTGGCGTATAATGTGGCGCCATGTCATACCAGTCCAATATTGATCATGACAAAACATGCAATTCTGCCATGTGTCACTACATTTGCCATTTGGCATATAATGTGGCGCCAAGTCATACCAGTCCAATAATGATCATTAATATTTCCTAAAATAAAAATCGATACCATTGATATTTGAACCCATGACCTTATTTTTATTATGATTCAAGTTTTACCACCATTCTATAGACACGTTTTATGTCAATAATTTTATATTAAAATAGTTAATTATGCTCATAAATTTCAAAAATAATAATATATATAGATTTTATACACTTTATTTAACAACAATATATAATAACAAATGTGATCTCATCTCTTTCATTTGCTCATTCATACAACTCTATAGTTATTTGAAATATGTAACCCGAAAATATGTTGCACTTTTTAATGCTAATTTTTTTCCCACATATGTCAATTTAAAAGAGTTTCTTATAACAATTTAAGAACAAAATAAACTAATCATATCTAGGATACGCAATATTAGATGATGAATTTTAATGTTCAATTATGTTTGGAAAAAAAATAAATTAATAATACAAGTAATATTATAAAAATAATTAATCAATTTCAAAAATAAAATATAACTAATCTATTTTAATATTTCACTTAATTATATTAAAATCTAATTTAAATATTTCATAATGATCCGGGGCATCGCCTTGGCTAAAAACTAGTTTCAAATGTAAATATCTTTAATTGTGTATTAGTAAAAAAATATAAAATTTTGATATTTGAAAACTAGACGTTGAGACAAAGCTAACAACACCCCACATGACTATATTTTTATCTAACACTAAATCACAAAACAAAGTCAAAGTAAGCTATGTGAATAGTGCACAAAACGTATCAACTAAAAGAAACGGAGGTAATATATATATATATATATATATATATATATATATATATATATATATATATATATATATATATAGTCATTTAAAATATTTAACATTTAGCTTAACTAATTTATGGTTTAGAACATGTGAGTACTAATTTAGAACATCTTACTTAATTTATAACACTTGGGAAAAAGTTTAGAGCATTATATTACAAATTTAGAACATAAAAAGAGTTCTCATATAAGAAGAATTCTCACATAAAGGAGGGGTTCTCACGAGAGTCTTCCCCAAAATATATATATATATATATATATATATATATATATATATATATATATAAACCTTGCAACAAGATTTTCAAGGGTCCATTCCAACAACCTATAAAAAATTTCTAAATTCTCAATCATGAAAGACAAAAGAAAGGAGAGGTGAAGAATCATACCCCTGATAAAGAGAAAGCTGGCAGCCAAACCAAGGCCTACAGTCATAGTTGGGTTTTGTAACCCAATGGCCAACCCATCTATTTGACAAAATAAGCAAAAGAAGTACGTTAAACCAGAGCATCAAGCAATTGACATAATACAAAGTGATGGAGACTAACAAGGTCATAGGCCACTTTCTTTAAAGGTAATATAGCAATCTTAAAAGTACACATGAGATCAAAGGAATAATGGCATAAAATACAGAGGTGAAGGGTCACAGAAAACACCATCAAAAGGGAAAATGTACCATGAACAAGACGTACCACATACACAAAATACTACAACCATACAAGAAATTTGAACCACTCCTCCTTAGCAAGTCTAAAGCCTCATTCTAAAATCGCACTCAAATTCATGAAAAATTTTACTCCATATGGGAGAAGTCATGAGAAAAGCAAGGAAGCATATGGGAACATATAATCTGGGAAAGGAAAGGGGAACCCTTAACTATTGCATGGGTATCATATGGCTCATATCTGCATCCATATTGCAGCAATGACTGATCACTATTCACTAATCACATGGCTTTGAAACTGAAGTAATTACTTGCCTAACATTATTTACCAGCTTAATGTGCTTATGTGCAATACACTTTATGTCACGTCAACAGCTACCTCTAGCCTGGTGACTCCCCCAAGAGCTCACCCCCACATGGCACTTGCCTTGGGACTCCATTAAATACCAAATCCACAACACTTTGAAAAGGTACACAATATTAATTTTTTAAAAAAAAATACAATTCACCTTATGCGGTTACTAGTGCACGTATTCAACACATGGATAAGAGACTATAGTCTATAAGGCCTTAAACAGGTTCCTTTAACCGATACCAGTTTAATTACTTTATGCCCCTATCTAATAGCAAGAACAACCCTCAAACATTTTACTAAGACTGGACAATAATAGAAAATGACATACATAATAAGGTCAAAAGCTCAAATATATTTAGGACAGAGATTATGTTAGTTACCTTTACACTTTTTGAATAGAACATCTTCATAGTTGAAAATTCGGAGCTTAATTTCGGGAATAATATCCTGCAATCCCAATCCCAAAACACATCACTAACTAGACAAAAACATTTTCTCTAAATTAATGGGATCAGAATACTCCGAAACTAGGGCAAAATGTCAATCGCCATATTCAGGCATAAGATGATAGACAAGACATAGATCCGACCTGCAAACCACGAAGACGAGTAGACGAATCGTGATGAAGAGAGCGCGCTGAGCGAATAGCAGCATCTGTTGATTCAGTGAATGAGCGAGGCAAATCGTCTGAAATGTACGAGTGCCATGGTTTTGGCGTCTGCTGAGTCTGATCATGCCCTTTTGCCACGGCGTCTGCTGAACTTCCCTCAACCTCCTTCTCCATGACTTAAACTGAAGGATCGTCGATTAATAGGGATTTTGACGGGGAAAAGTAGAAATCTAAGGGACAGCCCTTTTTCAGGGTTTTTTTTTTTTTTTTTTTAACAGCGGTAAAAAAAAGAGATTAATTGTAGTCTGGTAGAGCCGTAAAGGTGATTATTATTGATAAACATGGCTTTGAGGCCGAAAATTCAGGCCATTCCTCGGCTTGGGCCAAGTTTCAGACACAAAATGTGCTCAAACTAGCCAAGTCATACGTTTTTTCAAGTCATCATTGGGTCAAGTCAAAAAAAAATAACAAAAATTGCATAAAATTCCATTCCCAAGCTCGTCCAAAAGAAATTCTAAATCGGGTTGAACTCACTTTTATCATATCTAACTACTTCCTAAACCTGTTACAATACCTAAACCTGTTACAATACAAACAAAGGGCACGTTCTCATACATTGAAATTCAGTTCAATTCAGTTTAGCTCATTTCAATTCAATTCAGTTTAGTTCCTAATTTCCTTCTCTTACAAAATATTCATTTCAATTCAGCTCCTGATTTCCTTCTCTTATAAAATATTCATTTCACTTCAGTTCAGTTCAGCTGAGTTCAATCAATGAGAACAGGCCAAAAGTGGACATTTTTTGTAGGCACTAATACCTAGCTTTTTGATAAATCATGAGTAATAAATAATAATTCAATGTCAAATGAAGGATGTGAATGATTTTATGTACATATGTTTTATACTGAATGTGCATATTTTATTATATTTTGTAGCTAGGTATGCAAAAATCTACTGAAATACAATTTGCATATTCTTTGTGTATATTATGCACTCATTTTCGTTTGAAAAAGGTTACAAATCAAAAATTAAATTTGCACATTTAGTAGAAAAATATATGCATACTCGTTTCAAAATATATGTACATTTAACACTTCTCATCCTCCTTATTGGATCCCAACCCTTAGAAAATTTGTCTTTACTTGCTGTATATGTTTTTTTACTTATCAATGTATTTATTTTCTTTATACCATCACTATTTTTGAATAATTACAAACTTGTATTAATCATCTGTTTCTAATTAATTGCAACGCTTACTAAATTGATTTTTTTTTAATAGTACTAAATTTAATTTAATGATTCATTATCATTTTATTATTTCTTTTACTTACACGTATTTTTTTCTCTTTCACCATACCACTAATTACTAAGGGCCTATTCTGATTGACTAAACTGAACTGAACTGAAAATAATCTAAAGAAAACGGGCCCTAAATGTACCAACTTATTTTCCCTTCAAAAAAAAAAATGTACCAACTTACTTTGCACAAGTATATATATACTTATTTATTTTTTAAAAAAAAGGTATATATATACTTATACTATTATGAAATTTTTACTTTGATGACCTCGTTATAACGTTTTATAGGCTCATTACATATTCTACATATAGTTCATTAATGAAAAATCGGTCAAGGTAATCGATAATCTAGCAAAAAGAGATTCTTAAATACACCCTAGGTGCCAGGGGCGCCTAACATTTTTTTTTTCTTTAACACCAATTTCACCCGATTATGAAAGCTTGACAATCAAAAACACTATATAACAACAATTTGACCAAATTATGCGGTTATTTAAGGCAATTTAACCTACATTTTGGTTATGATTCAAGCTAAAAACACAAATTCGCAAGTAACTGAAATGAAACAATTTATAGTTCAGTACTCAACAATTTAAGTTAAGTATAATTTGACCTAACCTTCGAGTCGACCATTAACAACAGCTATAGATCAATGGCGATCTATGCCATGACAAAATGGCAAATCAAAGATTCCAACAGCAGAGCTTAACAACCAAGGATGAAATGAAGAAAGAGGAACAAGTGAAGAGAGAGACTGAAAGGAGCAAGAGTGAAAGAGAGAGTGAAGAGAGAGGAGCACGCACTTGACGCCGTTAGTTACCCCCACTAACCCCAACATTCACAAAATTTAATAAAATATACTTCCTCTATTCTTTTTTACTCGACCTGTTTCTTTTATCACACTTGCCAATACTAAAATTTAACGATCAATAACTTAAATTCTCCATAAATAAAAATTATAAAAGTTAAATATTATGATAGTACTTATTGAGACAAATCCAAAAAGATCATGAATATATTTTTCCTTACATATTATTCACAAAATACGGTCAAAGGGGGGTGGTAAATAGTGTAAAAGTCAAAACGGGTCAAGTAATAAAGAACGGAGGAAGTACAATGATCCTACGTGGCAAGAGAGAAACCAAAAAAAAAAAAAAAAAATACACCGAGAGTAACCGGCAGTACTCGTCAAACACTACGTATAATGGTTTTTCTTTAATTTTACTGGTATATAATTTTTGGTTCACGGGATCATACTCAGCTTTTTGAATATCTGGAAAATCAGGTGAGTAACTGTAAAATATGTGATTCAATTATGGATTTGCAGCCCAAAAGATAAGAAAGAAAGGAGGTTCAGTAATACAAGGGAGGTCTCTGATTAAAAGTTTAAGAGACAGAGTTAAAATTGGTAAGCCGGCCGATTTAAACTTTAGAGAAGCGAGGTTTAGGGTGATGATAGAGCAGAAGAATGGGTAAGCATTAGGTATTCAAACAAAGAAACAATAAAATTAGGTATTCTCGAAATCAGTTGGGGAAATTGAGAGAGAAACGAATAGGGGAATTGAATTAGGGTTATGGTATACAAATATAATGCTGTGTTCTTCTCTAAGGACCCGATTACAGTCCTGGCTTCGTGATTACGACAAACTTCAATCCGTTGCCGTCATTCTCCTCTACGTCCAAGTAAGTTAAGTTTATCAAGCTTTTTAATTTTGGATATTTTTGATTTTTATATGAGTATCTTGTTTAATCTATTGGTAATTTTTTTTTTTCTTTTCTCAGATTGGATGCTCATTAGTTGGATCTCTAGGAGCTCTGTATACTGGGGTTCTTCTTATCAACTTGGCTATTGCCCTGTTTGCCCTTGTTGCCATTGAGAGTGGCAGTCAAAGCCTTGGCCGAACTTATGCCTTTTTACTCTTCTCTGCAATCCTGCTGGACATCTTCTGGTTTCTTCTTTTCTCCTATGATATATGGTTAGTAACTTTCTCATTAACACTATTAATCTTGGCTGCCTCTATTCTTCCATCATCTTTATACACTACTATTTAGTTCTTAATCAACATGAATACTTTTCAATATCTAACAACTTCTTGGATGAGCCTTACAACATCTTAGTGGGTAAATGGCCTTAGTTAGTTCCTGTCAAACCTAACTCTCTTCGGCACAATGTGTTTCACACTTTCAGAGCATCTATAAACTTCAATCTGTTGTCATGTTCACCAATGGGTGCATACATGTCAACTCAGCATCTATAAACTTCAATCTGTTGTTATGTTCACCAATGGGTACATGTCAACTCGACACAACATGTGTTTGATGAGAGACAAGGTACGTTTGTTTTGACGGAAAACACTTTTCAAGAAAATGATTTTCCCACTCTCCATTGTTTGGTTTGTAAAGGATGGAAAACTATAAAATGGAAAGTAGTTCTCCCTACTCCTTACATCCTTAAGGAAAACCATTTTTGCAATTGTTTTCCATGGAGAATCATTTTCCCAAAAAATTGTTTTTTTCGTCGTAACAAATGAAGCCTATGAGTTTGGATTAGAGAGTTTACTGATTAGTTGGAAGCTCTCAGTAACTCCATTGTTATTTTATTGTAAATGTCTCCTTGACTTTTGCATATCATGCCCCAATAGCATTTTTAGGTCAGTAGATGGTATCTTGGAATTTTAATGTGATTGGTTACAAGCCCTCAACTCATGCTCCTTGTCAACTCTGCTAGATTGAGAGATTGAGTGGGGACTTCTTTTGGTGCTTTGTCTTCTAAATCCTCATTGCAATGCTCCACTTAACACTTTTTTGGGTCCTTTGCTTCAATATACATCTGAAAATTTGAATGTCCAAACATAGTGACCAACATTGTAAAGAAATTAATAATTGTGAATTTTGTAAATATCTGTAGCACCCTGTTTATTGATATTTCTCTTTGTTTGGTCCGAGTATATGGTAGATTCTGATATTTTACGGTTTTACCCCAATTATTTGATGAAGCTTGATTTTCTTACCCCATTAATTTGTTGAAACACATTCTGAATGCTTCCACAAGTTTATGAACCCTTTGAGCTGTGGGATATTTTAATTGGAGTGAGGCTATGGACTTTTCTTCTGACTGTCCTTTTTTCTTGTATATGTGCAGGCACATCTCGTCAGAGAATAATGGAGCATCATTTATCTTTTCCTTGAAACTCACTCTGTTAATGCAAATTCTTGGATTGTCAGTAAGAATATCATCGGCTTTCTTTTGGATTCAGATGTACAGACTGGGGCTTGCATATGTCGAAAGTGCAGTTTCTCGAGAAGCAGATTTTGATTTAAGAAACAGTTTTCTAAGTCCTACCACACCTGCAGTAGTTAGACAATCCTCAGATTCTGATGATCAACTAGGTGGATCTATATATGATCCAGCATACTACTCCTCTCTTTTTGAAGTTAATCAAGATGAAAAACACTCAAAAAAGGTTGGTGATATGCAACTACTGCTGTAATGTACTTGAGAGTTGACTCTGAAATAACCTGCTTGTACTTGGCTGATGAGAAGTATATTTTTTTAGGCTTTTGTTTGCTCTCCTTTCCTATTTAATATCGTTCCCTCTCCTCTTTGCCACTGAATATCCTCTTGTTGATTTCATGTGTATCTTTATTTCATCATTTTACAACTGCTTTGGTGACTTAGTTTCATATGTATCTGTATCTCATCATTTGAAAACGGCTTTGGTGACTGATTTTCGTTAATGAAAGGCAAGGAGAAAGGGAGAATTAGGATATTTGGATTTTGCAAGCAGTTTGTTTCAGCAGAAAAAAGCTGTAATGGTTTGATTTATGACACTCCCTTTCCTGTTCTATGGTGTGAACTGCTTGAACCTAAGAATCATGCAGATTTTGGCCATGTTTGGTAATTAGCTTTTTAATGGCTTTTTGGTTAGCTTTTGGCTTTTTTAGGTGGTCAAACAGCCAAAAAATGTGTTTGGTAATTGGCTTTTTAGTCAGCGAAAAAGCTGGCTTTTAAGCCAAAATGAAAAAGCTGTTTTGAGTAGCTTTTTTGTTGGCTTTTGGCTTGTTGGCCCACAAATTATCTAATAAATAGCCAACAACCAACAATTAATTTACCAAACACTTTTATAAATAGCTTAAACAGCCAATTTCAAAAGCCATTATAAACAGCCAAACATTTTCCAGCTGGTCAAACAGGCCAAGTGAACCAGCCAACCGCCAATAGCCATTTGCCAAATAAGGCCAAATTGTGAAGTACTTGATGTTTTCATTTTCAATAAACATAAAACCTTCTTTTCCCTTTTGCCATAGGTGGTGGTTGGTGGTGTTGTTTTTTATTTATTATTTTTTTTTTCCATACCAATCCTGTTCACCAACGTGGGTTATCCTTTTTCATTCACCACTCTACACAATCAAGATGAAACTGTCTTAATCGAGGATTCGAGGTCTATGGATTCTATTATTGAGCATGTTTATTATTTTTGATGTAGTCTTCAATTAGAGGTGGAATCTCACAGTGACACGACTTACACCCTTGCAGGGCCAAAGCGATGTCAAGGATGGTGATTCTTCATCTCAGACTGAAAGCTGTATATTGAAGCTGTCTGTGGGGAGTGCTTTTCAGACTATAGTGGTAACTTATTGTTGCTCTGTTTGCTAATAGTTTCTCATCTGGACTCTGGAGTGTTGTTTGATTTTTTTGCATTTATTAATTTGAAATATATTCATGAGTTCATTTGTGTGATGATGAACATATGCATTGCTATAATGCTATGGATGCCTGTTGGCTTTTTATGATTAAAAATCCGCAGTTACTTTATCTAGACTAATACTAGCCCCATAATTTTAAAAGTAATTACTTTACTACTTATTTAATTTTGTCACGTATATACATGAAAAAACGTAATTCAAAGGAAAACTAAACCTTTTTCTTCCTATTGCATGAGATCGTTACTTTTTTTAATTAAACATTCTAGCATCGGGTTTAGGTTTGACAATGCTGCTGTAGTGTTTTTTATTGCCTAATTTTTTTTATTTCCTAAGTCCATCAATTAATTATCAATAGTTAAATTTCTCTAATTATGTCAACATTCATCGATCATTTTTTTTAAATGGTACTAGCGTCGGTAGTTCGTATATTGGACACCAACTTTTCATTCATCCCTCCCCTAATCTAAAATATGTTTAAGCTTGTTTTTGTATAAATTATACGTTTTATATACTCTATAATTCAGGTTTTTTTGTTCGAGTTATTTACTGTCATATATTGTTGATTCAATTGCTCGACAAACTTCCCAGAATCCCAGCTATATGCATATGCCGTTTTCCTACGAGGGTCACTTAGTAAATTATAACAGGTGATTTGCCTTCTTCCTCGGTTGTTCTCTAGTTTGTAAATCTAACTAGGACACGTTATTATGAAACACCCAGGGATTAGGGGAGTTAAAATTAATGAAGTCTGGAATTTTCAAGAGAATGATATGTGACCTGTGATGTTTTGTTGTGAGACTGATATGCTACGTTACAATAAATCTTAGAATCGTTTACAGTATTATAGTTTCCTTGGATCTGACTTTACTCTTACATGTGCAGGACGAGAATGCGGCATGTCGTCGTCTTAATATTTTGTAATAATATGTTTATTTTTGGAAATAGACATTCCAAAGTCAAATGAGTTTCTCTACATGCTTTGTTAAAGAGATTAAAGCTGTCATCAACAAGCCTCGTATACTGATTTTTGTAGGACTGGCATCCCGCATCCATATATATGAACTACATGGTATATATTTTTTCCATACATATATTTTTTTTGGGAAAAAATGGTTTTAATAATTTTAAATTTACTCGATTCTCTTTTAATACTCTATAATTCAATATTGGATCATTCTAGAAGAATAATCCAAACATTTGGAGTGTTTACTTTCTTCAATAACAAACCAGTCAACAAAAGCCAATGACATGTTATTACAGGTTATTTGACACATGTCAAGTTGTGATTGGTCCAAAAAAATGTTTGGTGGCCATCGCTCTAGGCCAATCTTAAAGAGTCGAGCCCTTAATCACCAAACTCGAAATCTCTTACTTGGTCTTGGGCTTCAAACAATATCGTGGTTCAATAATTTGGCTTAGGACCTTGGTCGGTAAAAAGAATGAGCTCCAAATTCTAAAGATCTCATGGTGGTCCATAACTTAATAATTGTCATGGAATCGCAAATTCCTACAAAATAATACTAAGTCTAAGAAAACATGTGCGACAGGAAAAAATCACATATTTATAATGGATAATATCACTAATTTTGAACAAAATATACTACGTACCTTTTTTAGACAAAATAATTTGTTAGATGTGTCCTTTATAAGCAAGGGTAAAACTAATATGGTTTAAAACCAAACTAAACTACAAACCAAATCAAATTAGTTATGCGATTTTTTATTTTTATATTTATTTTTTGTTGCTAACATGGTTTGGTGCGTTTAATAAATTAAAAAAAAAATTGCGAAATGGTTTCTATTTAGGATTTAGATTATCGAAAAACCGAAAATCAAACTGAAATATAAGACCATATCTTAATTATAACCCATTTCTGATTTTCTGTCTAAGGCCAAAAACACAAATAATGTTTTTAAAAAATGAATTAAATCACTGTGATTTGGTTTGGAACACAAACAAAGGTTTTTTTTTCCTCCAGGGTTTCTCCCTTTGAAAGGTATTTTTTTTTGCCTCAATTGCTAGGTTTTTTCAATTTCTTTGAATGTTTTCCTTCTCTCTTCATATTTACCACTTATTTTCCTCTTGGTCTCAACTGTAAATCTTTATAGGGGGGTCCAGTGGTGTTTTATGGGTGGTAAGGCCCAAAAACCTTTCAATAAATAGATCTCATACTTTTGATAATGATTTTTCTATTGAGTATATTTTCTTTTTGTATTTGTTTGGTGAGGATTGAAGATCTAGGGTTTCATAACCTCTATATGAATACAAAGGACTACATGAGTGTGACTATGCATTAGTGGATTTCAAGCCAAATCAGTGTGAATTTACAGATTGTGTTGATTTAGATGCAATATTTTATTAAGCGATTGTTAATCAAATCTAATCTATGATGTATTTAGGACCTATTCATTTCAGCTTAATTTCAGTTTAATTCAGATCCTAATTTTCTTCTCTCATAAAATATTCATTTCAGTTCACTTCAACTCAGTTCACTAAATGTGATCATACCCTTAGATTTAAGGTGGGTAAATCCTTGATTTTTTTAGGAATCATATGTAAGTGTCGTTTGGCTATATTTATTAATGATATCCCTTTGTTTAAAAAAATAATAATAAGGATTTGGGTTGGATCGTATAATAATATGGTATAGTGCGGTTTGAAAAATTCCAAAACCGAATTAATATAGTCTATAATAGCTACATTTGTTCATAATAATATTAGTAATTATTAATAATTTCCGAAAATGACGAGTATTAGAGACAATTTAAGTACAGGTTATATGATACGCACAAGTAGATGTTAGTACGTATAGGGGTGTCTCTTTAGAGACATGTGATAAAATTGGAACTTTGTAATAAAAATTACTCACTTACTCTATCATTGTTGTAGGGTTATTTAGGATCTGTTCTCATACGTTTATTTTCAGTTCTTAATTTGTTTGTCTTATAAAATATTCATTTCATTTCAATTAAGTCTATGAGAACATACCCTTACTACGAGTGTTTTACAGTTTTACTAGTGTTTTTCTACAGTCAAATGGTGGTGTGACTAGTAGGAAAAAAAAAAAAAAAAAAAGCGCTGAAATTAAGTCATTAAAAAAATGGCTTAATATTCTACGGAGTATTTCAGTATTTCCTCCTATCTTTTCCCCTTTAAGATCTACTCGTATTTTACATTTGCACTGGTTCGCTACGCCCCTATCTCCTCCTTCGAAGGTACTCTGATCCTCCATTGAAGCGACTTGGGATCTTTCTCTCATACGTTGAAGTAGCAGGTAAGATATACAATTAATCATCGAATGTCAATTTCACATTCAGCTTTAATCGGTGCTTTAATGTCAGTATAGTCAATTTAGGGTTCGTCTAAGGTGGATTATTGAACTATTGGTTATAGAACCTTGAAGATTTTAACATAGTTTTTCGAGCCTACTTTGATGATTGAGTCAATTTTGATGGCTAATGTGTTGGAGGCTTTGATTTATATACTCCGTAACTCTTTAATGTCAGGACCTTTGTAGGCTCAGGGACGGGCCAAATATTCCTAATATTTCGTTATTGCTGTGTTTCTTCTTCTTAACTCCAACTCCAACTCCATTGTAGAATTAGTTTTAGTTTGTTGTCGTATGCAAGTATGTTAGATTGTTAGGGATGACTATTACTTTACTTTTCTAACTTGATGGCAGAAAGCAGTTCTATTGACCCAAGCCTTCAGTAAGAAAATGGTTAGTGGGACCATATTTCATTGTAAGAAAAATTCATGGCCTCGAGAAGAGTATGTCAGCAGAATTACTTTGCAGCTGGTAAGTATTGTATCAATTATTGTTTGTCCATTTATTTTTGGGAATGTGTGAAAGCAAGTGAAGAATATAGAATATGGGCATATGGCTGACCTATTTGATGTTATTGTATACTCTTCAGCTGGATTATGACAGTGCTGCTCCACCTGAGCAAGCTTGGAGGAGGAGGTTAAACAGCCATGCTAACATTCTTAAAGAATTTAGTATTACATTTATGGAAGCAATTAAGATGGTAACTATTCGTTGATGAACTCTTTGGTTCTTAAAATTACACATCATATTGTTTCTCTCTCTTTCTTTCTTTTTTTTTTTGTTTTTTTTTGTTTTTTTTTAAAGTTTATTTTTCTCCCTTGAAACTTACATTATCGCTTTGTTTGCTATTGGCGTCTCCATTGTAGGTTGGTCTTGGCTTTCGTTTGTGGTCATATGTAAGGGAAGAAGCATCACATGGAAGGGTAAGTTTATGATGTCTTTTAACATGGCAGGCCATCTTAGTAGTTTCCTTTTTAGAACTGTGTTCAATATTCAATGCAGAAAGCTCCTATCGACCCTTTTAATAAAGAAAGCACGAAGCCTTCAGCATCTCAAGGAGTACCGCTGGGAGGAATGGGGTAATTGTACGCTTGGAAAATTGTGCCTTGCTGTACATGGTTTTTGGTTTATTCTATCTGAACCTTTTGTTGTATTGTGTTGCAGAAGTGGCAGCATTTCTAGAGGTTTTAGGGGAGAATTTAGGCAGTGGCAAATTATCCCTGGTTTATGTGAGGGTTCCCCTGTCATGGCCAATCAATTTTCTGTAAAGGCTCTATCTTACAGCATGTCTTATTGTTTATATATTTTAACTGCTGCAGAATTTCCTTTGGCCATGGTTTCTTTAGTTATTTACCTTGCTGTGAAATACAGTGTGAACGACTTCATTTACGTTTTTGATGCCATATGCATACAGTGATAATTTAGGTAGATAAGAGCTCATATTTGTCTATATTGACCAGATATACATTCAATTTGTTATCAACTTACGTGTCTATGAGGTTTTACAAGCTAGGGATTGTAAAGGTGCAGTTGTGTCTATGTGGAGGTTAATTCAAAAAGCTGTCTAAAACATGGGATTCTATTGTGTTTTGTAAAAAATCAAAGTGATCAGTTAATGTAAACTAATAAAACTAGGACTTATAATGGTTGAACCTTCATAGATAGATTTAGAAAAAAACATATAAACTCAACACTAATCAACTCCCTATCCTAATTTAAAAACTCAATGAAGGCAAGAACAAAAGTGTTGAATGGGGATGAATGCTTAGGGACTCATATAGGAAATGTGCATCCTTCCCTTGACTTCCCATTTTACCAATTAATCCTGTATTTATCCCTGATTAGATTTTTATTCCAAGGTAAAACACCAAAGAGTGTCTCACTTTTTCTTATGCCTTTGCTAAATTTATAGAAAGTACTCTGAAGTACTTGGAACTGCAGATTTTTATATCTCGTGATGGAGGAAATAGAAGATTTGCATCAGTTTTGGCCCCAGGGCAGCCTGAAGGTTTAGGGTAAGTTTATAATCAATGAAGCATTTCCTTGTTGGTATGATACATTTGACATTGCACAGTAGGGGTCGCATGATGTAAATTTTGAGGATTTAGCTAGTTAAATCTAACTCCACCACAGTCTATTACAACTTTCAAGGTTTTGTTATTTATTATATTTTTTCTTCTGTTTTGGATTATTTTGCTGCATTATTGTAAATGTTTAGTCATTCCTGATTGTCTGAGTAGAATCTTCTTAATATAAGATGTTTTCTAATCTTTTTCGATCTCTCTCTATCTCTCTCTCTCTCTCTCTATATATATATATATATATATATATATACATATACATATATACATATACATATACATATATACATATACATATACATATATACATATACATATACATATATACATATATATATACATATACATATATACATATACATATACATGTACATATACATGTACATGTACATGTACAGTACATATACATGTACATATACATGTATATATGTATATGTATACATGTATATGTATACATGTATATGTATACATGTATATATGTACATGTATATATGTATATGTATACATATACATGTATATATGTATATGTATATGTATACTTGTCTTGTTTTCTCAATTGCAAGTAGTTGTCAAAGGTATGTGAAAAAATTGGTTCTGATTTGGTTTATTTGTGGAAGAAAACGCTTACCTTTAAATAATTGAACCCTTTGTGCCCACCACTAAACCTTACCGACATCGAAGACCACTAAACATGAAACCCAGGAGCTTCGAAGTGGGGTCAATCCAGCATAACCCAATTTGTCGATGGGGTAATTGAAGAGCAAATTGATCACAACATATGGAAATCAAAACCCAATGTGAACACCAATCTATCGATGAGCCCTTAACAACAAAAAACGCAGGAGATTGAAGTTTAGAGGAAATTAATTGATTGAAGTTTAGAGAAAAGAAGTTCAGAGGAAATTAATACAATGGAACACCAACTAACTACGGTTAACGCGTTCAAACTAACGCTGTTCTTTGTGAGTTACATGGCACTATTATCTGTTACCCTGATTTTTTGCTCACCCTTAGCTCATATTCAACTAATGAAAATCAAATTCCCCAATAAAAACTTTGTGATCTTATTGTAAAATGAACTATCACCTACATGGCGTATCTTGCAATTCGTGTTTCTTTATTATCCCTCCGTGTTCAAGCCCTACAATCTATCTCATCATCACCATATTCACCGAAGCTTGAGAATTATATTTAAAGTAGAGAATGAGATTCACAAATACGTTTAAAAGTGTTACAAATATATTGTGAATACATAAAAGGTACATTGGTATTAATGTAAAAAGTACTTAGTTTATTTTGGAATATTTTGAAAATGGCAAGAATTTCTCACATTTTTGATATGGTAACAATTTTTCAATGTACAAATTAATTCACTTATGTCTTTAATTTTTGCAGCAAATCTGGTGACCATGGTATATCTTCTTGGGGTTGGAATTTGAGTGGCCAGCATTCATCTTATCATGCTCTGTTTCCAAGGGCATGGACAATATATGATGGTAGTTTGTCATATTTTCTTTTCTGTGATCCTAGCATTTATTGATTCTCCTTCTTACAGTCATATTATTTGCATATGTAGGTGAACCTGATCCTGAACTGAAGATATCTTGCCGTCAAATATCTCCCTTTATACCTCATAACTATAAGGATAGCAGTCTGCCTTCTGCTGTCTTTGTTTATACAGTAAGTATGAGTGTGAGCTGCAATATTGATTAATGATTTACGGGGTGCTATCTATCGATGTGGCAATGCTTAACATAATTGTGATCTTGTTTTTCTAATAGTGCTAGGTTTGTTTTATCGCAGTTGGTAAACAATGGGAAGGAAAGGGCTAAAGTCAGCCTTCTTTTCACCTGGGCTGTAAGATTCCATGAGTTTTCACTTATTTATTTTTATTTTTTATTTTTTATTATGTGTTATGTGAACAAGTTTTTAGTCACATTTGGTGTTTTCACAGAACTCTGCTGGAGGAGTCTCCCATCTATCTGGAGAGCATGTGAATGAACCATTCATGTGAGTGTCATTTGCCTTTTTATTCTACAACTGATTTTTATGAATGAACTTAACATTGACAAACTTTGTCTTTTGTATTTAATAGAGGTGAAGACAACGTTTCTGGTGTTCTCCTGCATCACAAGCAAGTGATCAAATCTTACTATCTATTTATTACGGTTGGTTTGCGAATTTCCTTTAAGAGTAAAGGAGAAAAAAAAAAAATATCATGTGCCTTTTTATTTATTTATGTTAACGCGATGTTGATGCCAGCGAACTAATTTGATCAAGTAGACATCAGTGACTAAAATTTATCTAAATTTTGCATATGATGTTATATAGTTTCAGCATTCATTGGATTAAAATGTTATCTTGTTGAAGCATCTATTTAGTATTTAAGTATTGTTATTGTTTGCGTCTGATGTGAAATACAAAAGTTAAGTAGTTGATAAGTTTTATATATTAGTTAAAACATACACTTTGTCTTTTCTGGAGCCTTAAATTTTAAGGTAGGCTCTATAATTGATGTTTAGCAAAGTTTAGAGTAGGCTCTGACTGCTCTGTCATTGATGTTTTGCAAAGTTTAAGGTAGGCTCTATCATTGATGTTTTGCAAAGTTTAAGGTAGGCTCTGTCATTGATGTTTGCAAAGCTGCACTAATTTCTTATTATTTTCTTTTTAGTCACTTGCAAAAATACATGAATAATTTGTCGAGGGCAAACATGGCCTTAGTTTGTGTCTCATGGCAGCATATGTAGGTGAGGGAGGTATTGACAGGATATTGTGTATGAGTGCTTGTTTGTTGGGCTAACAAACAGCAGTGAATTAACGCGTGGCCAGCAGCAGCGCTGCAAATTATGTGAAGCTTGCTGGACTCCATTAGTTTGTTAATTAGCTGTGTTACTTCTGGTTGTTCATCTAGGCTCACTTGGTTTTGTCCATGAGTGGATTTTTATGTGCTTAACATTGTTTAGGAAAGTCTATAATCATTGGTATTATTTTGCTTAGACAGCTTATAAAGGAATTATTCCATTGAACGTACTCTCTCCTGACTTGGTTGCCAATTTTGGTGGGTAGGAAGTTAATTGCTGGCTAATTTAATTATTTATTATTATTTTTTTAAATAGTTCGAATTTGCTTCAATCTTTTGTGTTGTAAGCCTTTTAACTTCAACCCTTGTTTGGTGCTGCCGTACCTTACAAATGAAATTATCCACTGTGTCGAACCTTTAGAGTATTACCTTAGAAATTTTTTTTTTTCTTTTTTTTTATTTTTTTTTTATTTTTTATAATTAAAATGATTCAATTTTGCTTCAATCTTTTGTGTTGTAAGCCTTTTAACTTTGAACCCTTGTTTGGTGCTGCTGTACCTTACAAATGTAATTTTCCACTATATTGAACCTTTGGAAAATTACCTTAGAAAACCCCAAAACTATTGCCACTAAAACCTCTACCATCATGAATTCCACACTCACTAACACCCATGTCGTAACATATATGAGGAGATAGACACCTGGGAGACAAGATTTGGGAAAAATAAAAGAAATGGTATAAATTTTACTGATCCAGTAGAAAATGGGTCCACAGTGGTGTAATTTGACAATAAAAAGACCACCTCAATTCGACCCTAATGTTGGAATGGTTATGTCTCATGTATTGTTGGTACTTGGTAGGAGATGATGGACTTCGTTAATATGGTGGATTGTCTTGGAGGAGAGGAAGATCATGAGTGGTGGGAAAAGGATACCAACTTAGAATATTTATTCTATTGATCTACAATATATTCTACTTCCTATATTTGTTCGCATCATTTTAAGTTTATTCTATTCCCAGACTAACTTTGACCACAATTATAAAATCTAATTATTTTAACTACTGTTGAGTACTTCCTTTGTTTTCGCTAAGTGTATTGTTGTGACCGGCACATAGTTTTAGGATCGTTAGTTGAATCAAGTAAAATATTGTATCTGCGGGGTTTGTTGGGAAATAATTAAAAAGTGTTAAAGGGGGCCATGTGAGAAACAATTAAGAATACAAGATGTCCAAAAAAAAGAAGTGATGCATAAAAAAATAAAAAAATAAAACACTGCAAAAATACGGAGGGATTTAGGGTTAAATGAGGACTTAATGATGAGGAGAATGAGAAGTAATCTCATACATTCAACAAAAAGATCTAACGGTTCGAATCACATGTTTCATTAATGGCCAAACTGTAAATATTATATTAAAAGAAATTCCCGTTTCTTTCTTTCCTCATGTGTTCCTCTTCCTCTCTTTTCCTCCCTGTTCATCACTTCATTCCTCTCCCTCTCTGCTCTATATTCATCTCTTTTCCCAATGTCCTCTCTCTCCTCCCATGTTCATCTTCCTCTCTTTGAACTATATGTGCATTATTGTTGTTAAAATGTGCATTATTCGTGTACAAAAGTGTGCAGATTTTAAAAGTGATATGTGCACATTTAATGATAGAAATGTGCTAATCTTCTGTACTAAAGATATATATTATTTTAATTAAATGTGCATAATGTTGAATATCCTATATATAGATGAGGAAGGTTTTTCAATTAAGCTATGTTCAATTGATTGATTAATTTCTTTAAAAAAAAAAGGATTGATTGATTTTCATAATCCATCTTTGCTAAGGTATAGGATAGATCCTTTTTAGGTTAATACATTGTTTAATGTTGTGAATTTGTATTCCCATAATGTTTAACACTGCGGCGGAGTTCGAGATTGAGATTAAAGAACTAATCTGCTTAACGATGCCCGAAAATACTTATTATTGAGTTTGCAAGTTGTTTGTAATCACAATTCCTTTCTCATCTCTAAAATTAAAAGCTTGAATAGCTATATGTTTGAGTTGTCTGGTTGATCCTCACTTCACTTTTTCATTACGGTTGACTCTGGTGATGAATGTGTAGTATTTAAACTGGTGTAGAGTAGGTAATCTATTGTCTTTGTTGTGAATGTGTTTTGCCTCTTTTTATGTTGTTTTGGTGGTTCTGGCAGTGGTTAGTGTTTCTCCCCCTCTACCCCCACCTCCCTTTTTGCTTTCTTGTTCCTCCTTTGTGGTGGTTGCAATCGTTTGTTTCATTGCTCTATAGTATTACTTGGGAATGCTTTTAAGTTTGGTGTCCTGAATGAGGATTCTGACATGATACAGGACTGCAAAGGACAACCCACCGGTCACTTTTGCTATAGCTGCTTGTGAAACACAGAATGTAAATGTGACTGTCCTCCCATGCTTTGGTTTAGCGGAGGTAAATTGTGTTACAGCAAAGGACATGTGGTCAAAAATGACACAGGTAGGGGTCTAATGATTCCAGGTTACTGATTTGATGAAGTTCTCTGTTTGCTCCATCTCTAATGAGGCTTCTGTGTGTTTTTTTTAGAACTTTTAACTTTCACTTTTGTTTATGTGAGCATATCTTTGAGCTTCATTGTATAGTGGTTGTTCAGCTATGTTTACTTCATCTGTTAAATTTCATGCTTCCTTCATCTGGATCAGTACAGAGCATGCTATGAAAAAAATATAAAAATTTAAGTATTTTTCCTTAAATTAAAAGCAAAAGCCCAAGGAAGAAATCTATTGGGAGTTTTTCAATTCTGCATCACTGTTCTATTTTAATTTAAATATTTTTTAATTTGATGGGGTATAAAGGATGGGCAATTTGATCGAGAGAATTTTAATGCTGGACCGAGCATGCCATCCATGCCTGGAGAAACTCTTTGTGCTGCAGTTTCAGCTTCTACGTGGGTGGAGCCTCATGGAAAGTGTACTGTTGCGTTTGCTGTTGCATGGTCTTCCCCTAAAGTGAAATTTTTGAAAGGAAGTTCTTATTACAGGTGATTTTTCCTGTATTTTTTTTGCATCTTTGGAATGATTAGATGTGTTAGCCTAATATGCTACATTACAAGATTTCATTTTGAGGTTAACCTTTGATTTTACTACTTAAAAGCGTGAAAGGTTGCTTTACTTCATTATTATTCTACGAGTTATGATTCGTTTTTCCGTGGTATTGGTTTTGTGTGGGGATGGGGTGTGGGGATAGAGCTATCAATATTTGACATGACATGACAAACAACCGAAATCGGTACCACACGAACACTAAATTACCGAGAGAAAGCACAACGCGACATGACACGAAACAATCAGTTCTGATAGTTTTAATGAATAAAACAAAATGAACACGAGATGAAACACGAACACAAAACGAAAAGACTTTTTGCCAGCTCTAGTGGGTGATGGGTGGAATGGGAGGCTGTTTGCTTGTCCATTCGTCTAGTGTTTACTCTGTCGTTATATGATATGATGTTGTAGGCGGTATACAAAATACTATGGTACATCTCCACGAGCGGCTGAGGAATTGGTTCATTATTCACTGACCAGTATGTACTGTTGATCCTAATTTCTAAATATATTTATTAAAAATTTAAGTGCTGTAATAGTTATTTTAAAAGAGTTTCCTTTTGTTATGTAATTCTTGTTAGACTATAAGAGATGGGAGGAGGAAATTGAGAAATGGCAAGACCCAGTGCTGAAGGATGATAGATTACCAGAATGGTAAGAAATTATGAAACTTGAAAGATATTTATCTCTATTATATGTATGACTATGGTCCTGCTTTGCTTGGAAGTTCTGTTGACGCTGTACTCATGTTTGTGTAGTCTACTTTATCTACCATATGACTTCTAGTTGATTTAATAAATTGATATTTTTTTCCCCACTTCAGATTTGTTTATACATCCCTTGTGTCATGTTAACTAAAAATTCTTCCTTTTTGCAGGTACAAATTTACGCTGTTCAATGAATTATACTTTCTTGTAGCAGGCGGGACTGTTTGGATAGGTACTCTTTAGCAGTGGTTCGTTTTCTTCATTCTTGCCTCTTTCGTGTTTAATTCTTAGCCAAAGATTTGCTTAAGGAATTGTCATTGCAGACTCTATGGAGCCAGTTGGAAGTTCATTAAATGACAAACAGCAGCCAACAAAAGATGAGAGCACAAAGACTACTTTGACAGAAAAGATAGACACTGAAGGTTTGGTAATGGAGCTTAGAAATGGAGCAAATCTTGATAAAGCTGATGATGGATTAAGGGACCATGGAAAAGGACATGTCTTAGAAGAAGAGACAGTATTACCCTTGAAAAAAGCAAAACAATCATGTTCTTTGACTGAAACCCAGGATGAGTGTGATGATGTGGGTAGATTTCTTTATTTGGAGGGGGTGGAGTACATAATGTGGTGCACATATGATGTACACTTCTATGCATCGTTTGCTCTTCTTGATTTGTTTCCCAAAATCGAACTTAGTATTCAACGTGAATTTGCCAAAGCTGTCTTATCCGAGGATGGTAGAAAAGTAAGATTCCTTGCAGAAGGTAACTGGGGAATTCGCAAGGTAAGAGGAGCTGTCCCTCATGATCTAGGAACACATGACCCGTGGAAAGAGATGAACGCTTATAATATACACGATACAAGCAAATGGAAAGATTTGAACCCTAAATTTGTACTTCAGGTCTATCGAGATTTTGCGGCGACAGGAGACATGACATTTGGAATTGATGTTTGGCCTTCTGTTCGTGCTGCCATGGACTATATGGACCAATTTGACTTGGATGGTGATGGTCTTATAGAGAATGATGGATTCCCAGATCAGACATATGACACTTGGACAGTTCATGGTGTCAGTGCTTATTGTGGCTGTTTGTGGCTTGCAGCACTTCAAGCTGCAGCAGCTATGGCTTTCCAATTAGGAGACGAGGAATTTGGTGAAAAATGCAAGAGAAAATTTATAATGGCTAAACATGCATTTGAAGCTAAGCTGTGGAATGGCTCTTATTTCAATTATGACTCTGGATCAAGCAGTAACAGCAAATCTATTCAAGCAGATCAATTAGCTGGACAATGGTATACAGCTTCGTCTGGGTTGCCTAATCTCTTTGATGACCTCAAAATCAAGAGCACCTTGCAGAAAATCTTTGATTACAATGTCATGAAAGTTAAAGGAGGTCGGATGGGTGCTGTGAATGGGATACAGCCCAATGGAAAGGTGGACGAGACCTGCATGCAGTCACGTGAAATTTGGACTGGAGTTACTTATGCCGTGGCTTCTACAATGATTCTCGCAGGAATGGAGGAGAAGGGCTTTTCCACTGCAGAAGGGATTTTTATTGCTGGCTGGTCTGAAAATGGATTTGGGTAAGGCAAACTTTTTTTTTTTTTCTCTCTATACAATAGTCAATTTTTCTCAGATGTTGCTACTTGACTCATTCTCTCTCCTAAAGGTGTTGTTTGTCATTAAGATCCTGCAAATAGACTTGATTCTAGTGGATCAAGAGATTTTCAGACTTGCATATTTTGACATTTTTTGTTAGTGTCACTTCTGCATCGTAAGTATGTAATTGTCTAGCGTTTTAGCACTCTTCGTTTGTTGCTGCCATATTAGTGATGCCTATGACATTTTTCGTTTGTGGTGGCAAAGACTTGGTATTCTGTTAAAAGACGAGAAAACCATTATGCACCATTTATGTCTGTGTCATTGTTAATAGTGCAAAAACTTCTGTTCTCCTAGGTCTTTTCGCTATGTACTTATATGTCTGGCAATTCTAGTCACCATTACTTTTCATATTGTTAAATTTCCTGATAAAACCCTACAGGTCTAATATATGATCCCGCTCCCTCATATATTGACCGTTTTTTTACATGCTATTGCTTGAAGTTTGATCATCCCCACCATCAGATCATTGCCAGCCGTGTTCTCCAGTGATATATTATATGAAAGTGTTTTTTTTTTTTCCCCAGCCTTTTCGTAGTTGTATTCTTAGTGATGTTGCCACCTTAAACGGATGCAGAGCAAAGCTATGCTTTTGTCTATGACCTATTAAAGTCTTTCAATAGGGTAGTTAAACTGCCGGATAGAAAGGGCATCTAGTTTATTACCTTACCCTCCTGCTAGAGGCTAGAGCTGACTTCAGAATTGAACTACATTTTTTTCTGACTTGTTCTGTTGAAAAATGTGTTAAGTCTTGATTTAGGGATTGCAATAGGTCATTGGGTGATGTACCTAATCCGATGTGGTTGGACCCTACCTTATCAGGAACGAGTCCAGCTTTACTGATCCAATGTGTCCAGGTAAAATCTAGGTCTAGATGCGTGTTCACTAGTAGGGTATTTGTTCGGGTCTAATATATCCATACCAAACCCATACCCTACCATTCTTAAAATGTACTCCTATCGTTTTTTTTAAGTGTTACACTTTGATTGACACATAGTTATAGGTAATTTAGTTGACTTTAATATAGTCAGATGTAAATGGGGTTGTTGAGGCATTAAACTATTTAATAGTAGAGATAATAATTTATTGAAAAATAGAGGTGGTCAAGATGGGTTCGGCTTGATTTTGGGCGGGTTTTGGACATAAAAACCCGAGCAGCCTGAAATCATTATTTTTTTGCCTCACCGACTTAATTTTTTCCCTTGCGGCCCGCCCTGCCTTATAATCACCTGTATTGGAAAATAAGAGATGTGAGAGCCTGAGAGGAGAGAAATAATGTTAAAAAATAATTAAATTATAGTAGTAGGTCTTTAGGGATCACGAGAGAAAAGAGACATAATATTAAAATGTAGTAGTTTGCTAAAAAAAGAAAGCGTAACAATTTTTTAAAAAAGTCACATTAGAAAAGTGTATCAAAAAAAGGAGTAAAGATAAAAATTACAACTTGAGTTTTGAATGAAAACAAGACAAATGCGTGGTACTTGGACATTTTGTGTGGCCTTGAAGTTGATGACAAATAATTGAAAACTATACCCCTTTCTAGACCCTTTGGGTTCGGGTAAGGGTGTTTTTGTTACACCCTATGGGCCAATGGGTATGGGTATACATCAAATATAGGGTATAAGGGTATGGGTCTAGAATTTACTAAATCCCACCCATTCCCATTCCCATCCTACACCAGAACCCCATTCATTGCCTTTATTTTTAAAAATCTTCTAGTGGGTGTATTTTTGAATTGCAAGAAAAATCTGGTTTGTGTTGTTTTTGTAACACCATGTTTCAGTAACCATCCAAGTTTCCTTCTAAGGGGTTGGAGATCTAAATTTATTAAAAAGGTATTTTCTTTTATTTGTCTTTGTAGATATTGGTTTCAAACTCCAGAGGCGTGGACACTAGATGGCCATTTCCGATCTCTGATATACATGAGGCCGTTGGCAATTTGGGGTATGCAATGGGCATTATCCATGCCTAGAGCAGTTCTTGAACCGCCTGAGATAAGCATAATGGACAGGATTGATATGTCTACTTTGACTTCAAGATCCACTCGTACTGAGGCAGATGGAAGAAAGGCTTCAAGTAAACAGAAGGGTTTTTGGAACTCAATGTTTAGTTGTACATGTTAAATATCCGTGTATATTGGCATTTCTTGAAGAATGTTAGGTTCTATGTTATCTTCAGTCTACTTTACATCCATCAGTTCTGTTGATCATACTTGTCTCTACCAGATTTGGTTATTTCAAAATCGTAGGGGTAATAAGCGGAGCAAGATTTTTCAAAGCGAAGAATACAGTAGAATCACTCCTCATCATACAGTATAAAGGGCAAAGTTAACAAAATGCAGCTGCAGGAATTTTTCAATGTAAAAACTGTTATGTTCCTTTTCTTGTTGTAAGCTGGTTGTTTGCCAGAATATGAGCTATCAATGTACAGTATAAGCAACATCATTGATTGGTTTATATATATATATAAAATTTATTATCTTGTTGGGGATGATTTTCTACATGATATGCAGCACAAGGATACGGTTGGTTTTGGCTTCTTTCTGAGAAAGACAAGGCTATGAACTTTAATAGCGGGTCAGTTGGTTTCATGGTAAATATGGTCGAGGGAGAGGATTTGACAGTTGGTTGTTGGAAGAGTCTGGATTTTTTTTTTTTTTTTTTTTTTTTTGGGATTTGAGTTTGGAGGGTGTTAGAATTTTCCAATAGAATATACACGTACCTGTGAATAAGTTTTGTTAACGCAGCTTTAAGAAATTTACATGCTGAAATGGACAAAATTGAACAAAAATTGACGGCCCATTGGAGCGGTTGGGGAATTAATTTTAAAAATATTTAATTAAGAAAAAAATTGTCATATTTAATCTAACTTTACCTCATTTGTCAATTTTAATTTCAATTTTAAATTATTTTTTTATTTATCCGAACTTTATATTTCTTCCTGTTTTTTAAATAAAAATATTCCTTCCGGTCATGATACTCATAGGTGATTGACGACTTGTCGAGTATGTAATTTTTTTAATAAAAAGTTTAATATATACACATCAGTATGTGATAGGTCAAAAAAAAAAAAAAAGAAATATACCCATGGCCAGCCAACCCCCTTCCCCTCAAGCATCGGCCGCAACCCACACCCCCTTCCCCTCCCTTGGTGCCGGCGCTACACCGACGAACCTTCCACATCAATTTTAGAGTTGGATTACTTACAATTTTCCCTTAGTACAGGGGTATAATTGTCCTTTTGAGGGGAAAATCACGAAAGGACACTAAAATTTATATAAAAAAAACTTATTAAATTTTCATTTTGTGAGAAAATACCTTATAAAATTTTATTTGTGAGATGAAACAACTTAAAATTTTTTGCAAGATAAAACCCAAGGTGTGTTTTCCGATGTTGATTGCGATTTAACGATGTTGAGCATATACCCTAATCAATGTAATTAAATTAATAAACCAAGTTTTAAAGTCTATTATTAGAGCTTATTCAAGGTTTAGGGTTGGTTTGGTGGAAGAAGAAAATGAAATTAGAGGGTTGATTTATTTAAGGTTAGGTTAATTAATTAGATATTTTATTAAAATTTGCAAGGTCAACGCTGGAATAGTGGCATTAGATTTCATCTCGTAAAATAATTTAAGTTTAAGGTTTCATCTCACAAAAAAAAAAAAAAAATTATAAGGTGTTTTCTCGCAAAATGGAAATTTCATAAGTTTTTTTCTGTCAAATTTTCCCAAAGAGAGCCAAAGCAAATAATTTGAAAAGGGAAAGGATAAATTAGCGAAAGACTCAAAAAGAGCTCAAAGAAGGGGACACTTGTCAGTGTCTTCCCTAGCTAATACTTCTCCCACAAAAACACAATTCACTTTTCACATAAATCCAATTTTCCTCCCCCTTCTCTCTCTACATTTATTTCCTATTACTAATTTGAGCTTCGAAGGTAAAAATTTCTACAAGAAATATTTCTTTGTGCAAGTACTTATTCGAGTTGATTGAACTAACATGTGAATCCCCCGTAAACAATAACGATTGCATATCTCAAGTTAATATGTTATACAACCGGTTGTATGATCGAATTTGGGGCATAAACATAATTTTAATCAGATAAGGCAATTAGGCAGTCAAACAATTTTTATTTGCTTGGGGGTATTTTTGGGTTTTTCTCTTATCTTTTTCGGTTTAGCTCCTTCTTAGGTTTCATTCGTCGATATAATTTTAGGGTTTTTCGTTCGTCGAAATACAAATATTTTTGGATTTTTCGTAATTGCTGAATCGGCTCAATCATCAGTATTTTTTGTAGTAAACTAGCATAATAATTGTTAATTCGGCTCATATTATCAATTGACATTTTGCATTAAATCATTTTCGTTGCAATTTTGAGTGTTGCAGATGAGTGTTGTAACCGATTCTCCTGTTAATTCATCAAGTAGTGATGATTTTTTGGCAATTCTTGATGCTGAGTTAGACTCTGCCTCCTCTGATCAATCCCCAGATCAAGACATTGATGCTAATGAAGATAATGATAACGAAATTGAAAGGTTACATTATGTATACTATTTGGATTATTTTTTGTTCCCCTTTTCAATTGAAATTTTACTCTTCTTGATTTAATTTTTTGACATTTTGAAATCAAATTATGAAACTTTTCTTCTTCTTCTTCTTCTTTTTTTTTTTTTTTTTCCTATTGATTTCGTCATATATTTTTAGGTATAATTAGTTTAATTGATTGCTCTTATGATACTGTGAATTTGGGTAAGCGTTTTTTGTTAGATATGTTATTCTATTCCTTTCTATCAATCTGCAATTAGTTTAAAATTCTAATTTTCTGTTGAATGCTTCAATTATTAGGATCAAAAGACGCAAAGTGTCAGAAATCAAAAAGGGGGAGGAGGTGCAAAGTTCAAGTTCCTATGTGGTGGCTGAAGAAGAGATAGGTCTGTTTTAAAGTCTGAATTAATTGTTAATAAAGCTATTTTTTTAAAAGAGTTTTCTTTGTATATATATTGAATTTTAACGTCGAAGTTTAATTTTCTATCTACTGTTTCACTAATCCAGATGAAGATGTCAAAGATTCATGTCCACATCCGGGTTTCCTGAGAGATATGTGCATTTGTTGTGGAAAGAGAATGGAGGACAGTAATGGTGTTGCATTCGGATACATTCACAAGGTATATTACTAATCCGATCTATTTGAACACACTTAAGCGAGGTTGATCACATGTACCAAAAAACTGAAAACCGCAATGATACAAAACTTTTGCTTGCAATGTAACCTACGTATAATGAATTCACGATAAATCATTGTAGAGCTATAAACGTATAAAAATAATTAAAGAGTATATTGGATTTGATCTCTCCAACCTTTGTTACATTTTGTTCCTGCTCATTGTCATTGCAATGTACTGTAGTGCTAAGGTATTAATATAGGAAAGCCTTTATTTGTTTTTTTTGCTGAATTATATCTTGAAAAGGTTTTTTGTAGTATATTGAGATCCTTAGAAATTGCAACTGCAGGACTTGAGACTTGGTAGTGATGAGATCTCACGGTTACGCAATGCTGATGTGAAGGCTTTGCTTCGCCGTAAGAAACTGTATTTAGTACTTGATTTGGATCACACATTGCTGAATTCAACTCGATTAGAAGATATAAATGCAGAAGAGGAGTATTTAAAGGGTCAAACAGACTCCTTTCAAGGTTGGTCCGTTTACACTCTTTCTGTGTCACTGTCTTAGTATGTTTCACTAATGGAAAATATTGGCAATGGGCCCCTTTTGCTAAAATTGACCGTCTTTGGTTAGAAAAACATGTACATTCAAAGACACTTGGTTGAACCAAGGTTATACAACTAAAGCAGGTCATAGCATGGCCTATTCATACCTGTAGCACATATCTAACTATGTTACAATTTATCGGTTTTCTTCAATGTTCTGCGATCTTCTCTGTCCTGTAAGCTGTCTAATTCTAATGTTTTAAGCCGTATTTAATTTTTCTGTACAGTGAAAGCCACCTTTCTGATTGATTCCAGCCAAACGGCTTCATAGCTGACCTTCCAAATCTTATAGACAGACACTAGGGGCTGCCCATTGCCATTGCTACGTTTTCCCCCTCCTAAAGCTGGTTCCTTTAAAGCTCCTTAACTGTTGCATCCAGGCAGCTATTTGATTTTTTTCTTTTGTTTTAAATGAAACCATTGTGTCAACATGATCATACGTTTCATATGTTTATCACAATGATAAAACAATGCTTCAACGTTTCATTTGCATTTCTATAAATGGAACACAATTTATTGTCGTTTATACACAGTTTTCCAATCTTGCTCTTGTTGTAGTCTGTTCTGACATGCAAATTATTGACTTCTAGTTTCTCATTTGGCGCTTTCACAAGCTATATTGTGCGAGTTTCTTTTGAGTCTGACTTTACTTATATAGCGTCAGCCATCTTTTCTGGGGTTTGAGATATGTATCCTCGTTTCTTTATTATTTTAATAGAAGATATATGTAAATGTGCTGTATTGTTGACTCTATTTTACAAGTCTTCTTTAAGATGGATTTGTTTAGACAAACAAATCTCATCGAATCAGTTTTTGCCTTTATCGAGATTGCACATCTCATGTAGGTTTGAGACTTGTGCTTTTGGGCCTCTCTGCTTCCCTGTTGAGAAATGTAAATGGCCAAATGGGCATAGTATTAGTTGCTTTGCAGATCCTGATTGATGCTAATACTGTCGTTACTTCTAGTTGTTTGTTTTGGTCTTATTGTCTACAAGGCATACTTATAATTTTCTTGTCTATTCAGGTATCATGCCTCATTTCCTCTTTTCCCCCACCTTCCAGCCTTTCCGCCTCATTATTTTCTCCCATCTTGTCCGAAAAACCATTTTAGTGGTCCTTTTGAGTTTGTCCTTTATTATCTAATGTGCATACTTCACATCTAACAGATATCTCAAAGGGCAGTTTATTTCGACTCGATATGATGCGCATGATGACAAAGCTAAGACCATTTGTCCGTACTTTTCTGCAAGAAGCAAGTAACTTGTTTGAAATGTATATTTATACCATGGGTGAGCGCCCTTATGCGATAGAAATGGCAAAGCTTCTTGATCCTGGGAGTGTATATTTTAATTCAAGAGTTATTTCTCAAGCTGATTGCACTCAAAGACATCAAAAGGGGTTGGATGTGGTATTGGGTCAAGAGAGTGCTGTTTTGATACTTGATGATACAGAAGCTGTAAGTGCTACTGTGTTCTCTTCCATAAATTTATTGGTAGTATCTTGTTCTTCACACCTTATTGTATTGTTCTGTATTATATTTACAAGTTCTCCAATTTATATTTTGACTTTAATAGTGCTATTGTTGTCTTATCATCACTTCATGAGTTTCCCTGTTTTGATTGTTGTCTGCATATATTGGATTTATTATAATGGCCAATACAAATTTTCATTTTTTGGTTTTCATGTGTGGAACAATGTTGGCACAGACTAAATACTTAGAACCATGGGCGTCCTGGCTATGTGGGTTAGCATAATTCTGGCATGTATATTTGTTCTTTATATTACTCGTAATTACAATGCACCCCCACTATTTCAGATATTTACAAAGTTTCCTAAAATTACAGTTTAAAAATGAAAGAATAGCCATAAATATTAGCTGTTTTAAGACATCTTCCTTTCACTTGTTCATAAATTGAGCCTGGGAGGGTACTTGCAACACATTATTTGTTGAAATCAACTTTAGGAGAACATCTTTGAACAAAGTAGAATCTCTTAGGAATAAAGCAGTTGGAGCAATTAAAGTATATAGAGAATTTAATCGTAGCTTAGTGGTGCATATTTTGAATTGCAGGGTTTGCAAATTATTTCAATGTACTTAGATAGCTGGAAAAATTCCCTTATTATAAACATAAATATGACTTGTCAAGACATCGACAAATTATTGATCTTTAGGTGTATTGTTAATACAAAGCTGTGTTTGTTGCTTGGAAATAAGGATGGTTTTGATTGTAATCTGCTGGTAAACTTTGTTGATGTTGTTTTATGCATTATGAATTAGTCCCCATATTATAAGTTGTGTAGGCCCTGCGTCATGTTATTTAATTCCTTTTTATTAATAAATTGGTACACAATAGCTTAAGAGCATCATTTTTAGACTCTCAATTCTCTTTTATTATGCAGACGAAAACCTCTTGGTTACGTTTTTTTTTTTTTTTTTTTTTTTTAAAAATTTAATTTTGATTTTTAATTAACGGGAAATTTTTCTTAACATGTGTTTTTCAAATGACATTGTTTACTTATTTGCAATTAGGAAGGGGTATACCCTTGGGTTGCAAGGCCCTTTTTAGCATTTTGGGACCTTAGCTACCCTTTTACCGTATGCAGAATATTTTAAAGACAATATTACAGGTTTAAGAGTAGGATGTTTTGATAAGGAACAAGTCATCTTGATTTCTAAAATTTGAAGTATGATAGAAGTGCATTGAATAGGGTTTGAGTTTCTATTTTCTTGATTGCTATTGTTTGCAAGGTCTTTTTGCTTCCTGGTTGTATTCTTCTTTCTTTTTCTAAATAATATGTTTCTTGTCTAAGTGGAGCATCAATTGGCTTATAAAACATACTCCCTTGTGAAAATATACAGTATCATTTGTTCAGAATATCTTTTATTGTTTCTACTTGCAACCATCTTCTATATATACTTATTCACTTTCTTTTTCCAAAACAACATGCTCATTTATTATGCTTAATGTTAGTTTGTTGTCAAAATTTTGTATTTTGCTTTGTCAATTTAAACCCATGCCAAGTCCTTCTAACCATGTTCTTTTTTGAAACTTAGAGTTTGACAAGCATCTGAGGGGTACTAAAGACCAACCATCTTAATTTGTTATGAGCAGAATGTTGTATTCACAATTGTTATTTGTATTGCCATCCCTTATTTATTTTGCGATTAAGGCTTTGTTGTTGTGGTATTGCCATCCCTAATTTGAACATAATTTCTGGTTTCCTTTTCTTTAATTATTTTTTCTGCTTGTGGAATGGAAACTGTGAAAGACGTGTATATTGTAAGCCTGAAAATTTGGGTTTTTTAAAAAAAAATCTATAGGTTTGGCAAAAGCACAAGGAGAATTTGATTTTGATGGAAAGATATCACTACTTTTCCTCTAGCTGTCGCCAATTTGGCTTTAATTGTAAGTCATTATCAGAGTTGAAAGGTGATGAGAATGAGGCAGATGGAGCACTTGCAACTGTTCTAGGAGTCCTTAAAAGCATTCATGAAAAATTCTTTGATCCTGTAAGGAATTTTGTTTTACTGATTATAGTTGCTTGTTTTATCTACTTGAATGTGCTTAATGACCTAATATCTTGTAATTTTCTTGTAGGAACATGGAGATGACTTTGCTGCAAGAGATGTGAGACAGGTGAAATCCTATTTCGTGTTATGAGCCTCTTGTGCTTCGATTTTGTTCAGGGGTTATATATTATGCTAATTGGCTATTAACGTAAGCTGTTATGCGAAAACCATAGTATTTTTGTGTTTCTAATTTTATTTGTATTGTGCTTTTCTCCTATCCTTTTTTGCATGTGCATGTGGTTGTGGCATGGCAAAGATCTATTCTGCTAAGCTGTTGTAAACTTGTAATTATTTGCGGACTTTGCACTTTAACTATATGCTTTTTGGTTTTAGGGTCAATGTAGATTGTTTTGACAATGATGCTTACACTTGATGCTTTACAAGGTTTTTTTTTTTTTTTTTTGTTTTTTTTTGTTTTTTTTTTTTTTGTTTTTTGTTTTTTTTTTTTTTGTGGTTCAATCGAAGAGGGAGATATGAATCGTCTTGTCTTCAATTTTGAGTATATCCTAGCAGATATTGGTTGCAAGTAACTAACACTCTCTTTGCGTCAAATTACTTACAAATCAAGTACAAAGCTTGGCTGATTATTAGTATATCCTATCAAATATTGGTTGCGCCGAAAAGCTCATCTGCTTGGCTGCTTGCTGTATTGCACTATCTAGCTAGATTTTTTACCTTGCCAACTCAATGAGATGATGTACCTGATTTGTCAGAAATTTTTAAGTTTCATAGGTATGAGACACATTTATTCCCCTTTTTTCCCTTTTCTACATTTCCTTTTGCGTCTCACAGGGTAAGATGGACCTTATGTCTTTCCAATGAAATCTGTCATCTTCTGAGAAGCTGTGTAGTAGAGGGTGAGATTGAACTGTTGATGTTGGTAAGATAAGTGAGTTTGATTTTCACTACTTGTAGTTTGATTGGGTTATCATTGAGGTGCATTGGCTGGCACTGGTTGGTTAATGTAACCAGAGTAAGATTAATGTCATCAGCGTAAACTGATAAACAAGAGCCATGTAAAATTGATTAGACAATCTTATTGCCAGTGTTCAGTGTTCTGCCACTGTATGCCTTTTTTTTTGGAAACCTTGGACTCAATTACACATCTCTTTACAGTTTCATAGTGCATCAGCATTCTGCACCATGGCTTCACCTTGTTTGAATGTGATTTCCCTGTTTAGTACTCTTACCATCCTATTATCTTTGCAATGATTTGATTTTTGTTTGTCTAACCTTGTTATTCTTAATTATATTTCGTATGATCTTGCAATTTTAAATACCATCATTATTATCTAAAAAATGGTTTCAAAATTTTGTCTTTTGTTTCCTCTTAGCCTCCAGGAATGAAATGTCCATATATTGATTGTCCGCCATAGGTGCGTTCTTGTAAGTGGATTTAAATGTTTGAGAGTTCAATAATTTGATCATGTGCATTGTATGTGATTATGTCTCAATCAAGAATAACAATTTAACATTTACATTGATGATGCTTTATTAATGTTGTTCTAGCTGATTCTTAAGGATTTAATTGAGCTTCTTTGCTGGCGTCTTTGTTATTAACCTGAATCTCACCATCATCAAATGAATTGAAATAGTGAATACTATATTGATGGTGCAGGTATTGAAACAAATACGGAAGGAGGTCCTCAAAGATTGTAAGATAGTATTCAGTAGAGTCATTCCAACAAAATACCAAGCTGCGAACCACCATCTGTGGAAGATGGCTGAACAGTTAGGAGCAAAGTGCTCCATTGAAGTTGATTCCTCTGTTACACATGTTGTTTCAACTGATGCTGGTACAGATAAGTCGCGTTGGGCACTTCAGCATGGCAAATTTTTAGTCCATCCAAGGTGGCTTGAAGCTGCAAACTATATGTGGAATAGAAAATCAGAAGATGAGTTTCCTGTTAGTCTAACAAAGAGCAAATGACTTTTGTAGCTTTTTTTTTTGTAGGACTTGAGGTTGTTTAATACGTGGTGTACATGTAATAGGTTTTGCTGGCTGACATAGGATTTCCTACCTCTTTAGAATTTTGTTGGGAGATGTGTAGAAGTCATCCATACATTGATACGGGTATTTTTGAAGGTCTCTGTATGTTAACATATTAAGATTTAGTTATTGTAGGCGTAAAATGAAGTCGCCTACCTAAGCATGTGGTAAA